TTTACTTATTAACGGCCGCCATTTTTTATCAGCTTGATCAAACTCGACCATTGGAAACCTGGGCCGAGATAATATATTCAAGCACTTGTATGCCAAATTTAAATGCATCATTTTTAAGGAGATATTTTAGTGTAAATCTCACGAGGCAAATGGAAATTCGCATAAAATGCCGGTTTGCTGTGGCGGGGTATTATTTCTTCCAACGTAGTCCTGCTGTGTAACTTTTACTGACCCGTGATTTGTTGTCTCTCCTTTTGAGAAGTGGTCTTTTGTTTTCAATCATTCGCTATCTTCCTGCATTGTTTTTAATGCATGTTTTTAATTCATTTCTCCTACTGGATTCATTTAGTGGCATTTTGAACGCTCGGTACAATACAGATCTGAAGGCTGCAGTCTTGTGGATCGTTGGATGAATAGAGCAGCTGCTAATCGTTTTGTCCGTTTGCGTCGGGTTTTCTGTAGATTTCAAAGTCTATATTGTCACCTTTTCTTTCTGGTGTTAGGTCCAGGAAGTTGATATTGTCGTTTTAGCGAATTTCCCTATAGGGAAGTAGCTATTACCGTAGGTGGCACGGTAAGACCTAGACCCGGGACCGATTTACTTTTTAATTTTGATGTCCCCAGAGGCCAAAAACACCATTCGTTCAAATTTTTATATATGTATATATATATAGACTTATATATATATATACGTCCGTGAACGCGATAACTTGAGTAATTTTTGTCCGATTTTGATGAAATTTGTTTTAAAGGTGTAAAGCAGGATAAACTTGAATGAGTTCGCAAACCAGCACGATCGGACCATGGGAACGGGGCTTTACGGGGGGTTTTATGGGGTAAAAATTGGTTTTTCTCACTTTTGACCCTCAAAACACAAAATTTCCCGATTTCTCCTTAAACCTTTTTAAAGAGCTTAAAAAAACAAATAATTTAGTATATGAAAATATTTTTGTTCGATTATTAGTAACGGAGAAAATTAAACAAAATGTAAATTTAAAATTCCTATGTTATTCTTATGGAGAATATTGTCAAATGTTGTAGTTTGCTTGTTTATGGATATATTTTGATCAAACTTGACAAATTTATTTATTTTGTACTTTAAGCTATCAATATTTTACTCACAAACACACTTTATTAGTTTCCTTGTAGCAACGAACCTAGGTACTCGTTAAACCTAATGTTATTAAAATATATTTAACTGGAAATCAATTCAGACAATGGAAATTCGCTTAGTCGGCAGGTTTGCTGCAGCGGGGGTATTTTTTATTCGTTGGATAAGGTGAGGTTTGGTTGTCGTTGAATATGTGCATCATTGTATCGTGCTCTTCTTCCTGGGTTTGCCTGAAAATAACTAGAATGTCGTCTACATATCAAACATATAGCTTTAAATCATGATTGCGTTTTAGGTTTTCTAGTATTTCTTTTCCATGAGGTTGAAAAATATTTCTAACAGAATAACTGAAAGTTACTGAAATGTTTTAGAAGACAATTTATTTCAGATAGTAACTTCAAATTTGTTGTGAATGTGTACCTTAATAGGTACAATACATTAGTACCAATAAATAAAAATCTAACTTAAAAGAGGAGACTTAATTTTCTTCTTAATAATTATTTTTAATAAACTGCTTTTAGCTTGAAAAATAGCATTCTCTGCACTCTGCAGTGTTTTTGAAATATTTATACATAATCATTACTTAACTTATTATACAAAAAATGTTTCGACATCATTGTCTTGTAGAAATAATTTTGCTCCGTGATAATGAATACCACTTGGAAGCTAAAAAAGCTAAAACAATTAGCAGAAGAATATTTTAAGTGTCCAAATAACACAACAAAACCGTAACTGTTATGCATTCATTACAACATGTCTGTCTGTTATTTAGTGTATGGTTTGTTGGGTATTAAAAGAAATAATTTCTTGAACAAAAATCTTAATTCCATGAATGATGCACATATAGGTAGTGTAGGTAGTATACATATACCTATTATCTATTTTGATTGTATGAATATACTAGCCTCCATACCCGGGCTTCGCAACGGGAAGAGAACGCTAAAGAGAATAATTCTGTTGTATGAATGTGCATCCGTAGTGGATTACAATTTGAAATACATTATTGTTCGTTATGTATGGTGAAAACTGAAAACTGTTTCAATAGCGTAGTTATCTCAAATGGTCACAGCAAAAGATTCTAAAGACCACGTTGGAAATTTAATTTTAAACCTTTCTTTTATAGAACCAATGATTTACTTTTTACGTATTATTCAAACTCTTCGAGATTGGGGAAACGCCACATTGTGTCTTATTATAAAATGTTGTGTCGTACAATAAATTCACAATAGCAAACATTATACAAAACTATGCATTAACGTATATCAGCGGATTGGCAATGAAATAAAGAAAACAGAGACCAAAACTTGGTTTTTTCTATTAAAATGAGTCTCACAGTATTTTAAGTTTGGGTTGCACGTACAAAAAAACACCCTGTATAAACTGTAGATTCAGATGAAAAGTAAACAAACAAATGTAAACAAGTGTTTTGAGTACATTTACAATTTTATGGTTTAAGATAAAAATATAAATCCAGTTTGAAAATCTTAGTCTATGGTACAGACCAACAGGCCACCGTGGTCCGATTATAATGAAATTTTGTATGTAAAGTACTATCAATGGTATCTCCAGGTGCTTTTTAATCTTTTAGAAATGTTATTTTAAATAAGTAAATTAACAGAAAATCGAGTTCCTTCGAGAATTTAAAACGATTTTTATAAAGTTAAATACTCCATAACATAGCCTTAAAAATTCTAAAGAAAATATCATAAACCCCATTGATGTAAAAATTACGGTTCAAAAGTTATTGTAACTTGGTTAATTCTCCCATTAAAAAGTCATAAAATAACGATCAATCGGATTTTAGAAAAACACCGGGTTTAATAAAGGATCTAAACAGGATCTAAATTCCAAACAAAATTGTGCAAATCCACATTGCTGTAATAATTACGGTTGAAAAGTTTTTGAACTTTTGTGATTTTCCCTGTGAAATGAATAGTTTTACCTAGCAATTACCCATGATAAATTTGATTAACAAGCTGATGGGGAAAGTATGTGTCAGATTGCTGATACCGTTTATTTAGGCTTGTCCTGGGTAACTATAGGGATTTTAACATGCACTTACTATGTGTAAGACTGTTTACCAAAATGTCTACATAATTTCAAGTTTGTTAATATATTGAAGAATAAACTTCTTTGCAATATTAACTAAGCATATTTTCATGTTCAATTTAATACTAAACCACCAATCCATAGGCCAAACAGAGGTTGGTCTGACTTTCTTGGGACTTGGTATTAATATTTACAACAAAATAGTAAAACTCTACCATATAAAACTGTACAAGAAGCTGCACTATTTAATCCATTAAAAAATTAATAGCCTGTATCAAGTATTCACATGTGTCCATTCGGTTACAGCAACATCAATGAAATCTTCAAGGGTTCTTAGGAGAGTGCTATTATACCTTTGTCTGTACATATGATAACATTTGACATAAAAAACACTGTAACATAACAACGAACATAAGCGAACGATGTGCGTTATGGAGTTGGTTAAGCGCTATCTTACCAGCACTGTGTTCATGGAAATACATTCACTTATTTAACTAATAATAATAACGACCTATTGTCTTTTTTAACTGCTATTCCAAAATTCAATAATTTTTTTTTTCTATTTGACAGCAACTTAGCAGACGCACAGGTAGCACTGCCTATGTCTGCTAGTTCCTTTATGTTATTGTTATAATTTTTGGCTTTATTAAAACTAGTATAATATATTTTAGTGACAAAAGATCTGTCTATTATATTTTATTTAATTACTAGTTGCTCTGCCCGTGCTTCGCTACGGGGTGAGAATGCAGAAAAGAATAACTCGGGTTTACTTTGATAATATACTATGAGAAACAGTTACAACACACTTACCAGGAAACATATAGGCAAAAGCTCAATCCTGCTTATTGATTATTTAAATTAAGATCTCTTAATGTATTATAGTAATATCATTTTATATAATGTATAGCAATTAAAATATATGCAAAAGTATAATTCATTGACCGTATGGAACCAAGAAACAATTCTCCTTGTAAACAAATTAAATTAAATAGCAGAACAGCACTTCTGACAACAGCTGTAGTTTCATAACAATGTTTGTTTCCCATGTTAATCTTATGGAGAAATACGAAACTTTAAAGGGCCCCAGGGCCTCACTCTCTAACTATTTCCCTAAAAAGAAAGTTTCCTGCACAACTTCACGTTACGCTCTTTCCAATGACACCAAAACCATGTCAATCGGTTCAGTAGTTTCGGAGGAGTAATTGTCACAAAAATCCTGCTTGCGTATTAAATAAGTACGAGAGGTCGTCCAGTGGTCGAAACTCGACCAAAAATATGTAATGTAAACTTACTCACTTCTCTATTTTCACCCCACACTTTAAATAAAAATAAAACATGTGATTGGAGTTTCTTCCATTTGTTTTGATTTTCTGTTTATGTTTCGTTGTTATTTCGTCACCAGCATGGCAACTCATAATATCCATGTTAAATTTTTCAAAATTTTAAAATTCATTTTTTGTGCTTATTTTTGAGCCTATTTTAATTTATAAAGGGATTCTGCACACCTACAGGAAAATAGCTTTCTAACAGTATGCGTAGATTTTCCCTACGATGCACACGAGCTGAGAAAAAAGGTTTTAAAGAAACATGCTTGCCTATTAATATATAGATAGATAGATAATCACAGCTTGTAGCCTATGTTTTTTTGGAATAAACGATATTCATTCATTCATTCATTCATTCATTTCATACATAAAATATTTTATCGTTTGGTTTTTGATTTTTTGTTTTGTTTTCTTAAAACTGTAAAAGGGAAATATGAAATAAAAAGGTCAAGTTATTCTGATTCTAGTTTAATTATCCTTTGAAGAAGAGGTGGGTGAGTTCTACTGACAAGGAAGGAGTGTTGGAGATTGTGAGATGTTTAAGCCCTAACAACTTTCCCTCTTCATTGTTTCTCATCGTGAACCTCCTAAAACAAATAAGAAATTGTGATTACGTAGATAAATAAATCTGTTTTGTAAGTCAAACTGAAATACTCATTAGTCATTTTCCAGGATGGTGGCCGTAGCACAGCATGCACGCATGTTGAAATTTGATATGTTGTTACTGGGTACTAGTACTACATATGTGCAAAGTTTCACAATTTAGGGAAATATTTCCACCTAAAACCCTAATATGATTGGACTATAAGCTTAACATACAAACATTAAAGGCCGGTGCGTATAAGCTCTACGGTTAGATACTAAACTAAATATGACTATATGTTGATCAAGCCAGAGACGAATCCAGAGTTCATGAGTAACAAGTAATAAGTAATAAGTAAGTTATAAGTAATAAGTGTATAGTGGTGTAACTAACACGACTTTGTTTTAGAAAACTGTTACTAGCTGTTACCCGCGGTCTTCTTTAATACTTTAATACTTTTCAATGAAATGGCGACCATACAAAGTAGGTATTTTAAGCGAAGTATGGGTAGAGATGAGTGTAGGATGAGTGGTGTGATCTTGTAGTCTTGTTAGTGACTAAGGCCGAGCTATTCCTTAGATAAGGAATAAGTTAGTTTGAACGGTCTGATGCGCTCCGGGAACGAGATCTGTTCGTCGGTCGACTTTTTCGCATCCAGTTTGGAGGCTGTTAGGCGAGTGGCAGCAGAGGAACGTGACGCTCTATAACATTTCACTGTTGGTGCTGTTATCGATCATATTGTATCTTATCTCAAATCACTATTATTTTTGTTCATTTAATGCTTTATTATTGTTATTCATTGTATTATCTATGATTGTTACTCGTGGCATTTCTATTATTGTTATTCTTTTCATTGTTTATTATTGTTAGTGCCTAGTACAAAACACAAACATTCACTGCTGGTAGTAGTTGTCAACTTTAAAGGTAAATAGGTAAATAAATAAATAGACACAGCTGTTAATTAATAGCCCATACAGCTAATGGCAACTAAGGTACCTACAGTTTACGGTGGAATCCGAACCACATTTTTGGCTTTGGTAAATACGAATTGGTCTAGTTTTCAGGATAGTACAGGAAAGTTCGTCCCGTTTGACTTCATAAGTATTAATAAAATGATTAATTGCCGTACCGGGTTGGATGACATTTTGAGTGGCTTTTTATGGTTACTTTGAATAAAAACATTGGACTTAGTAAGCTGACTGGACAGCTCCCTAGGAGTACTTAAATAACATATGACTTTCTATTAAGCCTATGGCTATATTGGTTTTATAAGTAGGTTTCACGTTATTGACTTACTACAAACACTCTTGTATATAATATTAGTTCCTTTCATCCTAGTAATTGACTTGTTCAGTAATGCAATAAAATTATTAACAAGCTACTCTGTTTTCCAGACATTATTTTTGGAGTAAACAGAGACGTGACTTTCTTATGAAAATTTGGGAAGACATAACGTCAATAAGTGGATGAATTATGCACTAATTACCCTAATCGCACAATACCACAACAATTTAGAATTTAACAATTCTCTTTGTGTATTACATATTTTTGTTGTTGCTTTGTTTAAATTAACTGTTTTAACAAACTAGCCGTTATCCACGGGCTTCTCCCCGTTTGACTTGATAAGTATTAATAAAACTATTGATTGGTTAAGTTAAGCTGAAATAAACAAAAAGAATACAATAATACAAAAAAATAATTACACCTGATTTTAATAAGGTAATAAAATTGAAAGAATATCATACAAATAAGTACAGCTGAGTTATTTTTAACATTAGGTATATGGAAAGTTTCCTTTAGAAAGAAATTACGACCTTAAAGGGCAATTTGTGAAATAATAGTTTTGCGCAAAGTTTCTTTCTTGACGAACGTTTTAAGTATTTGGTTTATGGGGGTGTGTGACTTCAAGTTTCCTCAAAAGTTCATGGGTACTTTGGGATTTATATATGGATTCAAACAAAAATCTAACAGTGCTGCACCCTTTTGGTAATCCTTGAACCTTTATAATGCCATTGAACATCATACAACCATGATAAAACCAACTTGTTTGATTGAAACTGCTGGTAAGATTCATAAATTCAATTTAAATATATCATATAATAAAGTTACCATGGGAAACTCCAGAGCGACTGGGGCAGAGCCCGAAAGTTAGATCAGAATAAAAACTACTTAGTCTTCTTATTTAATACCTTATCCGATATTGAAACCAATCCTGGTACCTTGGTACCAATCAGTGTACTAAATTTGAGTCTTCTAGGTAAATGGGAAAGTAGGAGAATTAGTGATGAGTGAGTGAATGAGTCAGTCAGTGGTGGCTTTGTATTTTATTGGAAATAGATTTGATAGTTTGTGTGTTTGTTCGAGGTTTAATCACTTATTAACTACTGGTCGCATTGGGCTGAAATATGATATGATGATAGCCCACATTCCCGATTAACATACATATTCTTATCTAAAAAAAAATCCTTTCGGGCTCCACCCCAGTGGCTCTGCAGTTTCCCATGCTAACCTTATGAGTATTCATATTTAAAAGGAACTAAAGAATTTTGTCAGCTGTTTCAACTACACAAGTTGGTTCCGTGTTATTCAATACCATTAAAAAGTCATAAGGTTTACAAAACGGGTTCAGCATCATGAATTTGTTTATTTATGACAACAGCAAATTTGAACCAATCAGAAATAAAGAGCTGTGAAACACAATGATACACAATGATAACTGTCAAAGTAGGATTGTTTACAATAAAGTTTATTGTTTAATTTATCAATATTTTTGGATATTGTACAAATATTCAATTTACTTTCTTTTATTGTTTAGGTTTAGTGGTAGAACATTATGGCTATGGTAGATGTGTTATAGAATAGGCCTACCGAAAATTAAAAGAATCAAATTTTCTCAAAACGTGTTCTCCCCATTGCACGCGCAAAACACGTGTTATGAATATAGGTTATGAGTATAACTGCAATACGTTTTTATACTTATACGCCAACCCCGTACGAAGGACGAGTATTTTGCTAGTATCATAGCAAAACATACAAAAACGTAGCAAAACATATTGTGATGAGATCTGATTTGAAGGAGCTCCACCTTCCTATTCAGCAACTGTTAATTACAGCTAATTATTGCTAACTGGGTAACTGGGTAATTGCAGTACTTTTGGGCAGATAACAACACAGTTAAATTATAGTGCTTTACAAAAAGCTCATTAGAAAACAAGATGGCCAATGTCGAAAAAGGAGACTGTTGCGTATTAGGGCTTTTTTGCTGCAGATTTAAGAAGAGCCACATTTAAGTGTGTACTTCGTGAAAGCATCGTAGATACCGTAGACATACAACTGTTTATGGCCTATGAGGGTCTCAAGAGCCACAATAGAACATTGTGCAAGGTTTTTATGTTACCTATGTTGTTATGTTTTTTATGTGTTGTTTAAATGTTAGTTTAAGATACATAATTTTCAGTTAAGTTAAGGGAGAACTCACTGTGCTATTAACATATTAGGTTTAGGCCTTAATAATAGAAGCTTAATAATTTAAGCCTTAATGCAAATAAATGTATTGAATAAATAAATATTTGAATATGCATTGAAGATGATGGATCAAACAGAAGATTAAAAATTTAAATATATGACACAAAATCTAAAAGTGAAATTATAATTGATCCAACTATAAGGTTTGAAATATCAAGAAATCAACGCTTAGAAGTAGATGAAGAAAAGAGAACAATTTATATTAAATGTAAAAATAAAAAAAAATAGGCTATATAATCTAAATTCTATTATAGTAATTGGCATAATGATTGGTGCAAGAGGGACTATTACTAAATTGAATGTTGAATACAAAAAATTATGTGTTTAATCAAAGCAAAAAAATAAATAGTTATTAAAGTGTTAAAAGGATCATGTAAAATCATTCAAATAATTTATATGGACAACATTATTAATCTAAGTTACTTATTACTTAGATCATAAATTTGGTAGGTTAAGGTTGGTTAAGGTTTATTGTTACTGTGTCTAATAGGCAATATTTATTATAATAAACTCAGTAAAAAAAAATAAAATGAGTAACATAAAAACCTTGCACAATGTTTTATTGTGACTCTTGTGACCCTCATAGGCCATAAACAGTTGTAGGTCTACAGTATCTACGATGCTTTCACGAAGTCCACACTTAAGAGAGGCTTTCCTTAATCTCCAGTAAAAAAACCTTAATACGCAATATCATGTATACATCAAGTGTAATAAATTGAACGCATTTGGATCGTGTTATTCATAAACTGGCTGCAATTTATTATGAACCGACAGATTCTTATTTTGAAAAAGTTCATTTTGTTCATATCGTCACGCACAACATCCGGTCATGAAAATGTTCCCAAAAATGGGCTGTTGAAAGTCTTCTTATTTGACACCTGCTCTCGAATGAGATTTTTGTAAATCACTATTATTCGACTTTATTCACCCAAGAGTACTTACCCTTTCAGCAGTTGCTGACTAGGAAGTTGGAGTTACCTGTAACTATTTTATTCTTTGTAATATTGATGTGTCTTGAGGTTATATATTTAGATTATAGTGAAAAGGGCTGCACTTTAGTTTACGTCCTACATTTACTCACATACTGCAGTTTGGTTAAGGTTAGGATTAGTTTAGAAGAGTTTCATTTTATAATCAGCTGGTAGTTAGTGTATAATGTATAATAGTAAATGTAGGACATAAACTAAAATGCAACCGTAAAAATGATTGAGTAAAACAGTTGTATATTTCAACAGAAATTTTCAAATCAATATAATAATAAAGCACATGTTAATTTTCCTAAATTCCAAAACATTTGTTTGAGCCAGTCTATCAATGCTAATTATTATTCAGATGAAAGGTTGAACGTCCAATGATATGGTTGGTTCAATAATTTTGATTTGTGTCAAATAAAACCATTCTATTGTAAACAATCCTTATATATTAATAGGCAAGCATGTTTCTTTAAACCTTTTTTCTCAGCTTGTGTGCATCACAGGTAAAATCTACGCATACTGGTATAAAGAAATTTTCTTGCAGAAATGCAGAATATGGGGTAAAAAAGAGGGCTGTAAAATTTTTTTGTCGAGTTTTCGATCATTGGATTATCTATAGTGAAAATTATTACCGTAAAATTTAAAACATAAACTACTTTGTAACCCTTTTCACCGTATTGCCTCAAAATCTTACCTGGTTTTTGAAGTGCCCAAGACGTTTCTTTTAGAAGTTGTTGTCCAATAATTCCTTCACTCTCTCCATCTGTTATGCGATACCATCTGCCGTCTTTTATCAATACATTCAATTTATCTCCTTCAACCCTGATCCCATTTCCAATGGTTTCATCACAACCATCCGAAAATAGAAATGCAATATTTTCTTTCTTTGAGTTGGTTATAATGACTACAGCTTTGCCATCAGCCCTTCTTATCTCCAAGCGTAGTTTCAATTCCTTGTCATTGTCAATTTCATAACATTTCAAAGTATGACTTTCCGTGTACAATGTATTTTTTAAGTTTCTTGTTGCGCGAATAGGGATGTATTTCGGTATTTTTTCAGGGACCTTGACAACTAGAAAACACGTACGGTGGTAAGTAAAGCTATAATTGCCCTGGAATTAAGCACTTGATATGGAATATTAACATGATTCATAGCTATGGTAGGTTTAAAAAAAATCTGGTTGCTTTAAATATTTTAAATGATAACAAAATTATTCTTGATTTGTGATTTTACAGGTTGACACAATCAAAGGGATTTTGAGTAACGGTTCACCTTTTTGTCCAATATAAATTAAAACACTATATTACTTAATAAGAAGTCAATAGCTTTTAGATAAGTCAAAACTCGGGGCAGCAGTCCTCAATAATTGACATGTAAAATGTCCCGACCAAAGAAAAGTCTTAGTCAGCCACTAAGTTACAAAGATCTTATTTCATTCTACACTCGTCTTACATTCACATTAAGCTGTGGGGCTTGGTCCCTAATGAAATGTACCTGACGTAGCATTTAAAAAAAGATTTAGTTTTTACTTGCATATTATCAATGTATGTGCAGTGCCTCTCTTAACTCACAACCAATCCATGAAGGTATCACTTCTGAACCAAAAATAAACTGAAACATCACGTAAATAACTTCCTAAGCGAAAAGGTCACACACACAGCCACAATTAAGTTTTAAGATACGGTGTATATACTGCGTACATGCGGTCATTCGATAACCTCAGAGACACCACTGTTAGCTAAAACAACCAGCTTTTATATTAGATACCCAATGACCACAAGTATTGTTACCCACAAGATCTTAAAAATGAGTTTTCTCCCTTATTTATTAGCCGATTTACTTAAATTCGGAACCGTTGGAACTATTGTAATAATATTGGCTCGCTAATTACTACTATTTTTATAAATAAATAAATTGCTACAATAGTTTTTGTTGTGGCTATGGGTAGGTCAGGATCCATTAGTAGAAAACACTAAAAAGCAAGGCCAGCCTCTGAAAAATTATAAGGTTTTGCAAGAAATTTTGATTACGTCGGATTGTTATGAACATTTGACAATTGACAATTATTCAAATTCAAGCAACAGGTACACTAGTCTTATTAATCATTTTTCACTTGGACTGACTGTATTTAAAACCTGAACATAAACTAATAACCACAATATCGATCTATATTAGAAATCTTGAAAAAGTAATCCTACCTTGTGCCGCATACAAAGTAGGCACGAAACCCTGAAACATCATTCAAAAGATTACTTGCTTAATATACATCGTGTTTTAAACTTATTGGTATTTCCTAAATAAAATATTTCCATTTTCAAATGTCATCATGTCAACAGTTGGAAACTGTTCTAAACATTTGGAGCATTTCGTAATATCCATGATTTATTGACCATCATTAGCTTTAAGGGAAGAGTGTTATCCAATGGAGAGGAATTTCTCCTTCACATATAGATCGGCCCCGATTTATTTTGTAGATAGGTGGATCTACGCTCAATGTGGACTTACACCCTTCAAATCGCGAATATTAGGTAGAGAAAAACAGTTATTAAAGGAATAAAATCAAACCCAAACTTGTATGACAGTAGATTCAACAGGAAGTGTGAACAGCCGTAATCCACCTAGAAGACAATTTAATCAAGATGGTCTGACTTTCCCATCAAAACATATAATACATTTAAATGTATAATATTTAACTTAGTTATAACCAGTTATTGACAAGAAATATTTCTCAACATAATATTATACTCACCATGAAGAGCAATATAAGCAGCATGGTGTCAACGCCTGCTGCACAACTGCAAAAGTGATGGAACTTGATGAGAGACGATTCGACATATGACACAAATTACTGTGTTTTCCTCTTACATCATTTCATACCAAAGTTCTTACGCAAATGCTTTGCGTCATACCTACACTTGTAGTAAATTGAAACTCGATAGGCCATTTTACACGTATAAGGTGTTTAACACATACAGTTTAAGGGTAGTTTAAGAGATTAGTTTGGACCTTTTAAAGTACTATGCTTCCGCGTACCGCAAGGTGCCAAGGATTTTCTTGCCATCCCCCCAAAATACTGGGGTAATCCCTGTCAACCTCTTGGCAGCGGAGACAAAGACAGTCCGCCAGAAATATGGCTATATTTATAAGAATGGTGCATCACGGGAGTGTGCTCCTGCACACAGGGGACTCGAGGACGATGAACTTCCAGACCTCAGGCAGGTCCATCTGTGGGCGAAACGGCAGAATGCTGAGGACTACTACCTACATTATATATTTCATTTCAGATCACGTATGTTTAAAGCCGTACATTTACTTGATGGGCTAGTACGGTTAACCTAACTGCATTAACTGCCAATGGGGTTAGTTCTTTGAGTTAACAATTTCAAAACTACCTTTAACTGTTGATAGTAATTGATACTGCCTTGAGTGCTGTCGCTTGAACAAGTTTACTAGAAGTTGACTACAATAATTTGGGCTGTTGGTTAAACTTAGTTCGTAGATGCGATTTGTACAATTGACGGCTGCGACGAATCCCGCGTGAAAGAGGTTCGGAAAACACCTGATAACCGACCACAACTCTCTCAAAAAGGAATCGGGAGAATAGAGGGGTCGCTTCAACTTCAAAGCCCTATATCACCAAGGGCTTGCCGAAATATACTGTCGAAGACAAACATATTGGTTTTTCTCGTGAAATCAGTTTTCAAACTGCAACCATTATATCATCCGTGGGTGTGGGTCATTTGCAGACTTGATGCTGTTGTTTACATTCACTAAACAAACATTAAACTTATAACATTATTGTATAAGGCATAATATAAAGTACAGATCAATAAAGTAAGACAAACAACATTATAGTATACATAAATTAGAAAGACAATTTAACGATATTTCCGCTTTAATCATTGAACTTACGCTATCTATTACAGTATTACGCAAAAACACATAAATTAACCAAAACAATTTGAATTTAAGAATAGTTACAGAAGCTAATCTGTTCATGAACAAAACAAAACTTAAATAAAATCAGATTTAACCCTTTCTTTCCTCAATTATGAAAACAGTATACACAAAATTTCTTTTGCTTTTTTCTTTTTATTTAGGTTAATAGCCATAGTTGACAAAAATGTCATTCACTCTAAAAAAAAAAAAAAAAAAAAAAAATAGAATCGTATCCATAAGGATACTATTGTCTCATAATGTGCTGCAAGTGATGATGAAGCTTTATTGCTGCATGATCCCAGTTTTCCTGTATGTGCAAAATGACACCATGTTTCCATGCATAACCCCGTCTCCTTTTGGCATCCATAGGCATCGGTTGAGGCAGACTACAATAATAATAACAACTTGTATTCATTTTACATCTATAGGCACAAAACAGTGTCAAAGAATATTACAGGTTAAGATCATATTGTGCCTGGAGTATCCATTTGGAGCTAGTTTTATTTTATTGGTATTCTAAAATTACATGATAAAATTACAGTAAATCTGTAACCATGAAAAATGCTTATTTTCATTCTAATGTATCCAAGGAACATAAACGTGATGTTTCTATGGTGATGAAACTATTAAAACAATATAATAACAGATCTCCAAAAGTTGAAGAAATTCATCTACATCAGTGATTGCGTTCATATCCAACTGAATTATAGTTTTTCGTGTTTTTAATTCAGTGCTACCAACATTGAATAATGCAATTTCCATAGAAGAATGTCTGCTTTTTACAGTGCATAGATATCGAAATTTGTGGATATAACTATTTCAATATGAAAAATCAAGAATAATATTAAAATAATAATAATACAACAATGTGTTTAAAATATTTAGATACTAAGGTAAGGAAAGGGATAAATTAGCATTTATCTATTAATTTACTAAACATTTCTTTACACTCAAAGACAACAAGGAAAAATACTAGGCCTACCTTTTTTAAGTCCCTACTTACTTTTTAAGATGGAAGATGTTTTAAAGATTTATTTTTCTTATTTGTAGATCATATTTTGAAGGGAAATATCTTCTCCGTTTATATGCCCATATAACACCAGCAAAACTTGTCATGATCTGACATGAAGTTTGAAATCTTCAAGCCTTGGCTTTCTTTGTTTCTTGTAAAATTGGTTGTTATAACCATGCATTTAAATGTCAAGCAAGGTGATTTTCGAACTATTGTAAAAACCTATAATGTTTATACTTTTGATTCAGTCAAATTAGTAACTACAAAACAGTAGACACAATTTAAACTTGATATCCCTGGCAACTTGATCAATGTACAGTGTTTCTATAATAACGATCGGAGAAGCTAGAAAAATAGCCATTATTTGATGCAATATTCAATAAACATTTAAAATATACAATAATGGTGCTACGCAATTCCGTCGAGGCGTATGCATTTTGGTGTAGGTAAATCGTGTTTAGCTCTAAAAACCGCAGAAATAAATTTTTATCAAAAATGTTTATCCATGTAATGGCTTTACATCTTAGAATAGTTAGGAAAATACATGACTTAAAACACCATAAAGAACGCTGGACTACGTAAAGGCATATTGATTCGATGTTTTGTAGAAAAATGTGCCAGTCTTGAAGGTCATATTTGAAAGATCAAAAGATTATTATAACTTATCTTATTTTCACATAAAAACCCCATAAAAAACCACTAAGGAGGTTTTTACTTAGACTTTTATCAAGTGGAAGAATCAGTGAATGGAAGATGTCGGAGTTATAATAAATCATAGCCTTACGCTTCTCAGCCACTTCTGATTCTTAATCATTTTCCTACAGTTACCTAACAATGTACATGTTCTCTCACTGATTTGAGAAAGCAAAGTGGCCAATTCGATCATCAGTGAGACAATGTTAACATTGTCTCACTCTAATTACTTTGTCTTACTCCAGATTTGCAACATGAAGGCACGAAATAGTGAGCGCGTAACATGCAGGCAACATCGTATGCGCGCGAAATACGTTGGCAGCACTGGCTGTAAATCAGCTAGTCAGCTGTTGTACTGTTGTATTTGTCACTTCACATTAAATGTAATATTAAAAGTTAACTTCTGTGTAAAAATAGGTTATGTTTCTTCACCAATTTATTTGTTTTATGGTAACTGTAGGAAAAGTATAATGTGCAACTCTAGTGCAAAGTACAATTGCCTCACTCGAGAAACCATTCCTCACTCGCCTACGACTCGTGAGTGAGGATTTCTCTCGAGTGAGTCAATTACTCACTTTTCTCACTAGTTGCACAAATAACTATAGTCTTTAGAAATGTGAGCTATCTAAAGAAACTATTTCGCTGGAACCTTGACTTTTGACGGTTCTCTTAAGTTTGCTGAAGTGCCATGATAAAACATGGCATATTTTTAATTTTTTGACCGTCTTTAATAGTATTTTTTTATAGCTGACAGAGATGATGATTGGAGTGTCCAAGCGAAAATCAATCACCACTTGCCATCTTTTATATGTATTTTACCGTCTTGTGAGTGAACAGTATATAAGTATAAATATATTCTTGCAGGTGTTTATTATATGTGTTTTAGCACTTCAAAACAACTAAACAATAACTGTGTTTTATTATTATTACTCAATAAATATTAAACTAAATTGTATTTAGACTTTTCCACAAGTTTTAAGGTTTTGTAATTTAGTGTAAACTAGTTTGAAAGTAAAGTCAGAATATTTTGGATACTTTGTAATTCCATTTAACTAAGCTATTCGTATTTACAATTCAACAACTCGCAGCGTGACTTAAGATTGACTCAAAGGTGACGATTTATCGTCTTTATCTACAGATATTTTCCCTTTATAGACTAATCTTGGAAATTTTACTTAAGATATGTAGCGTTGCAACCTGCGTGTGGACAGGTGCGTATACAATACGTCTAGACACTCATGTTCACCTGCGAGTAAATTTTATACTTTTCGAGGGTTACTTGAATTGAGAAACGAAGCATAAATTTATTTTTCAGTATCATATATACGGTATGTAAAAGTATTTGGCCCAAAGAGTTGTTTTCTACCTTTCTACTGGTCTGTACCGAAAGCATATGGTTGACAGTTGTTACCACACAGCCGTGCGTCATACACACGTGACGATGAGTAGAGAACGTTGGCCTATCAACCTCACTCATATGCTACAAGGTTTTAGGCATTTGACTATAACATTAATAGTCAAAGCTATAACTTAGAAGTTTTCGTTTAGCTCATAAAAAAGCGAATTGCAGCAGATTAAAATTTTCTCTTGATAGCTTTTTTCACCTGAAACCAATACTTTTTCACATAGCCTACTTAGAAAAAACATTACTACGACTTTCTGGTATAAGTTTCTCGTTTTGGCAATTTTCCCTATAGGGAAGACCATGACCCGGGACCTTTGTCCTTTTTAATTTTGCTGTCTTCTGAGGAAAAATCCACCATTCGTTCAAATTGTTTAGTCAAGTAATTTCTTTTTCCGAATTTGAAGCTATTTGGCTTTAAGATTTAGGGTGTTAGGTGGGGTATCGTGAATGAATTCGCGAACGACAATGGTTGGACTATGGGAACGGAGATTAATGGGCTGTTTTATGGGGCAAACATAGGGTTTTCCCATATCTGACTAAAAAACATAATTTAAAATATTAATTTTTTTATTAAAATTTTTTATAATCAAGTACGTTGAAGTATTGTTGTACCTTGTGCCTAATGGTTACTGATAAAATAAAAAACGTAAATTTCTAATTCCTTCATTAGCCTATATTTAAAGAGAAATTGAAAACGTTTGTGTTTGTAGTTTGTACATGATATTTGGCAAATTTATTTATTTTATCTTATGCTATTAACGTTTGGTCAACAAACACGTTTTACCTTCCCCATATCGTCAAACCTAGGCATTCGTTACATCTATTGTTATTATAACGTGGATAAATACGTATTATTTATGGAAATATTTTAGTAAAAATTCAATCAGACAAGTTGAAATTCGTGCTTAAGTTTACTTTACAAAATCTCGTTTGTTTTATTCCACGTTGCTATATATTTTAATATTTTTGATAAGTGCTTTACTTCATGTACTAAACGTTAATTAGTGCTTTATGCATATTATTTATACCCTTTACTAGTACATCCGCACTTTCCTCTGATAACTAATTTAGGTTAAGGCCACTTGTTAGTAAGGTCTATTTAGATGGGAGCGAGCTGGCGTAGTGGTTAGAGCGCGGGACTTCAGTCCCTGAGGTCCCGTGTTCGATCCCCGCCAAGTCATCAATGGATTTTATCTAAGTGATAATGCCGCAACCCCTAGGTCTAGCCTGAAGTAATGTGAAAAACAATCCCAGGCTCGTGCCTAGCGTCCTGAGGACAAAAAAGGTCTATTTAGATAGGTGACATGCATTTGGTTTAGAGGCTGTTAGAGCTTCGCAGGCCGACCGTATACTTTACGCTATTATGATTTGTGGACTATATGATACACTTGTTGCCTCTGGTATTAACTTTATCGCCAACTTTCTATAAAACACTTCAACGAAAAATTATCTAAGAGCCTTATTGTTTATCCAACCAAAATCCTCTTTTAAATTATAATTAAATTAGATATAAGAGATAAATGGTATGATAACTACATAGATGTTCATAGATGTAAGAGGACTACGCATGTTCTTATTATAGTTTAAGATTCTCTCCAAAAATAGATTCATTGTGGGAGTGTGATAGATTAATCCCGGTTTTCAATGAAAAATATTTAATTTGACCACATTTGAATCTTCTAAAATTGTTTTCATCGTGTTATGTGCTCGTTAAGCTAACGACCACAGTTAGAGTAACTAAAAGTCGCGTATCATCGGTCTTAGAAAATATTTTTATGTTCAGTTTTATGTTTTTAAGTATTCGAATTGTGCCACTTATTTTGTACTTTTCAATCGATCATCCGTTTTATACCTAAATTATACGAGCTGGGTGAATAATGTACTAAATTAAACCAAACTAAGATAATGAAGAGATTAAAAAAAGGGTTTCGTGACTGGTAATTTTGTCCGTTTACAATTTCAAACCGAAATAAACTGTAAATTTAACAAAAAATTAATTTTAAAATTGTTTAATGAATCATGTTTATTGAACAATGGCCGCGAGTTATTTTACCATTTTAATTCAACAAAATCGTTTATGATACGTATCATACTCAAAAAGAGAATAATTTGGGTTTAACATGTCCTGTTGTTTAAAGTGGGGACACGACGTCCAAATGTCACGAAACCCATCAGATATCATTTTTGAGCTGTCTCATGACGTCCAATATAAACTATTCGACTTTAGCACGACGTCCAAATCTTACCATGTCCAAAAGTACAGTGACAGCAAGGAACATAGACTCTGTACACTCGTTGGTCATCGTGGGACGTCATCTAGTTGTTAGTTAATTTCATAATAAATGTAATCTCTTGACTTGGCCAATGCAATGTATTGACTTTGATGGGATTGGTCGTCGTGCGACAGTGCACGTTATACTCTTAAAAAGTAGCAGTAACACAACGTCCAATTCTAAAGCCGCTGCCATTTTATGTACGACGTCCAATAGTCCAACGCTGTCGCGCGAAGACCAGAGCTCCTGCATACGGTGAATACCGCAATACATGATTGAGCGTATACTGCTAGAACCTTTAAGGTTTTTAAATAGCAAAAGATATTATTATTTTCATATATTGGAAAACTTTAAATCAAACTGCTCCCTTTTTTAGGGAAAATTTTTATTTCTTTAATATACTTTTATACGGTGTGAATCAGGCCATCCTTGCATCATACTTTTAAGTCAACCTATTGTACATTTTAAAAAAGGTCTTGCTGGATTAGACTGCGGATGAAATTGTTGCTGTGCTCGTATAATACAAGTTTATGTTTTCGGTGAATTATGTAAAGAAATAGTGTTTGAAGTATATTAGAAATACTTTTATATTTGTTGTTGTTGTTGAAAAGTGTAAGCATAATTTGGAAATGATATATTTTAAGTTGGGATGATCTATATGTTTATGGTCTTGCACGAATTTTGTTATAGTTGTTTTGAAGTGGTCACCCAATCAATCACTAAGCCCTAGGTGTCGTTGGATAGGTCTTGGACATAACTAAAATCTTTCCGTTACAATGTGACAAACAACAAGCTTATTTACCTAAAACACATTTTGTGATATGGCTGTGAATCTATCCACAAGTGTCATGGATCCTGCAGCATGGTCTGATTTTTTAGTGGGGCATTGGTCACAAGGTCCGCAGTAACCCCGTAGTAATAGCATGTGTTAATTACATTACACAAGTGATACTCCTCAGTGGGACTATCGAGTTTGAATCTACTAACTAGTGTAGGTATGCCGCAAAGCATTTGCGTAAGAACTTTGGTATGAAATGTTGTAAACAGGAAAACACAGTAATTGGTGCCGCATGTCGAATCGTCCCACATCCAGTTCTATCACTCTTGCAGTTGTGCAGTCGGCGTTGACACCATGCTGCTTATATTGCTGTTAATGGTGAGTATAATATGTTTAGAAGAAATATTTCTTGTTAAATAACTGGCTATAACCTGCTCAGTTAAATATTATATATACGAGTATGTTACATGTTTTTATGGGAAAGACAAAACCCCTGATTAAATTGTCTTCTAGTTGTATCTACGGCTGGCCCCACTAGACTACCACTTTTGGAACCTTATGTCATTATATCTGGGTTTGATTATGATCCTACCCTACCTGATTAATTTTTTTTACATAATTTACGTGATTTGAAGAGTTTAAGCCCACATTTATCCATAGGTTCATAGGTTATCCATGAAATAAATCAGAGCAGGTCTATTTGACACGTAGACATTCATCTTTATTGGAAAACCTTCTACCCTTAAAGCTAATGATTGTAAATAAATCATGGATATTAAGAAATGCTCCAATTGTTTAATATTAATAAAAAATAAAAAAATTAATAAATCCGTCAAGTTTCGCTATTTTTTAGTTTCCTGTTTTCCATTTCACGAAGAGGCAATACATTTTTAGTTATAGGAGTATTTCTGTTAACTTTAGGATTATTTTATATTCCTATACTTAAGACGCCACAGAGAGCGGCAACTCGTATTTTTCAAGTGAAGAGACTGGACTCAGTTGTAAATAAAATTGTTTAATTTTTTGTGTTTTACGTTTGCCACGATTACTGGATAATGTGGCAACGTAGTTCCAAGTGATTGTATTATTTTGTATTTATTTGTTTTGAAGGAATAAACTCATTATTTCATTATTTCATATTAGGTTGTTAGCATCATGTCATTTGTAAACAGCACTAATTCATCCAGCATTACACAATAGGTTTAAAACACGATAGGTAATCTTTGTAATCTTGTTTCAGGGTTTTGTGCCTAATTTATATGCGGCAAAAGGTAGGATTGGTTATTTTATACATATTTAACATAGATCTATAGCGTGGTTAGTTTTATGTTTTAGTTAATACTGTCTGTGTAAGTATCTAATAACTACAGTCTACAAATGATAAGTGTGGCTCGATATCTGAGGGTAGAAAAGTTCGTTGTTACGATTAAGGACTACCATTAAGCACAGTATGGTAGTCCTTTCAAAAATTGCATAACCGAATGTAGAAAGATAACTGATAACTCGGTTGTTTGTCATCCGACTTTAACAAAAAAGGTCTCACTTTATTTGGCTTTTGCGTCTTTATCTTTTTGATCATAAAACAATGTTCTTAATCCTTACGGATTTCATTTTGACATTAGGATTTTTAAACGGCCGTCATATTGAAACGGCTAGAGATATTAGAACATAATTTTGTAAGCTCTTTTTACTTTCTAGCATACACATTTTTACCAATTTTGAAATTTATATCTTGAAAATCGTCTAAGATATAAAATATTAATTTTAAATCAAAAACAGACCGACAACAGAAATCTAGGCATTTTAGATCCATACTTATACCACATTGTATGTTTGTCTTAACCCAAGAAACACATCCACAAAATATATTCAGACAATTTGGAAACACCCTGCATGTGCTAAAGCCTAACTTTGACTATTGATTTAACTAAAGGTTCCATACCCGTGTTAATGCTGTGGTCAAATTTGTAACAAAATCGTCGTAGGTGATGTGAGCTACTGACAGATATTAATGATGTTGATTACTGATTACTGTGTCATACACGGTCCTTTTACCAAACCTACACAACGACTTATTATGCTATAGCAACTGTTAGGACCCATTAACTATGTCAACATAAAAGAATAAAGTAGAAAATAATAATGCTAGATACATTAGGGCATTCTGTGACTGGCTCACTCACTATGTTACTTTTAATAAGTGGTGATAACTGGTCTATACAGATAGGATGTCTACTACAATATCATATCGGCTATAGTAATACATTTTTACAAAATAATTTATCCTTTATAGACATTACTTTGATTTGGTGTCAATATGATTTTTTTCCTGATGATGAGTCATTGCCAAATGAAAAAAAGTGTAAGGCTAACGCATTAGTCTTATCTCCATTTTTGTCTGATGCGCTTCAAAATAAGACCGGTTACAACTAGTTTGCACAGAATGCTAAGTCAGGTAGGATTTATTGATGATCGACCCCCACAACTGAATGTGAATGTAAGACGAGTGAAGAAACAAGTGTAGATTGGAGTATGAAGTAAGATTACCTGTGTAGCTTTGTCACTGACCAACATTTTTCTTTAGTCAGGACAATTGATTACATTTATCAAGGGCAGCTGGCCCCAGTGCTGAATCATCAAAAAGCTACGGACTTTTTATGAAGTAATATAGTGTTTTAATTTATTATATTGGGTAAAAAGGTGATCATCCCATCAAGTTTCCTATAATAGTGTCAACCTGTAAAAACGCTAATCAAGATTAACGTCCTAATCATTTAAAATATTTGAAATCATAAGTAACCGTGTTTAATATTTTAGTTATACATTATGTATATATTCCTAATCAAATGCTGAATTCCAGAACAATTAATTATTACACATACATACAACAATACCTGTTTTCTAGTTTTCAATGTCCTTGATGAAGTGCCGTCAAATCTCCCTAGAGGTGCTAGAACAACCGTGAAAACGACATTGTACGCGAAAAATCACATGGTCCAATGTTATGAAATTGGCGATGGAGTCAGAAGTGCCTTGGAAATAAGAGCATCCGATCTCAATGGTATGGTAATTGTCTACAACCCAAAGAAAGAAGCACTTGCAGTTCTATTTGTGGGCAGTTGTGATGACACCATTGGAAATGAAATACGTGCCCAGGGAAATGATGTGGATATACATTTGAGTGGAGGTTTATGGTCGTATGTACGAAATACAAAGCGTACGACGGGTACTGCGGGACAACCAGAACTACCAGACACAGTTTGGACAAAAACCAAAGGTATGGTTAGGATTTAGTCGTAATACGGAGTAGAGAAATGCAAAGTAGTGAATGTATTAAACTTATTTTTTTCTTATTTATTTTATGGTTATCAGTTTCTGTGTTTACTTTAAAGGGGTTTTTTTCTTTGAAATTTGACATAAATGCAAATACTTTAATCAACCGTATAAACAGACATTCAAACTTTCGTCAGAATAATAATTTTATGATTAAGACACTACTCATAATCAAAATACCGGGGGACCGAGCCATGGCCCGGGATCGGTTTATTTCGATTGTAAAAGCTATATAAAGGAAATTCACGATTTTTCTCAGCTTGGCTTTTACTATTTAAGTTTCAGTGGATTTTAAATTTATCATGGTGGAATTATAATCTGGAAATCGACAACACATTAATTTATTTGACTTTTAATGGTAAAATCACTCGTTTATAATAGCCTGTTTAAATATAAACAGCTGATATAATATTGAAGTTTAAATTCTAGTTTACATAAAATAAATAAAATTTAAAATATAACTATATAACTACAGCATATTATGTATATTTATTTTAACTTTTCAACCAAAGTTCGCTTGGCAGGAGAGAGCCACATAAAATAATCAGTAATTGATCGGAACTAGTATTCCCTATATCAAATAATCTTCAGGGTAACGTTTGTAACAATCGTTCCTTAGTTAGCGTCTGTCCATGTGCCTTATTATATTATATTATATTATAAGTCATGGCAAAGGTAACTTTTACGGGAAATTCCTTCTTAGTCAGTTTGAAAGGACAACAAAGTATTGCGTAGTATGCCACTCTTTGATAGTGTAGGTGCCCAAGTGAGCTACAACCAATCTTGGACCCTGTTTAGGTTTCCCATTAACATAATAATAGAACTTTTTAGCCTGGGTTTATGGGGTGATGAACCTAAAGGGCTTTATGAGTTAAAAAACTGTAATGTATACAACAGAGCGTTCTACGTGTCTTGGTAAAGAACAATATTCGAACTGAACCTAAAAGGCTTTATGAGTTAAAAAACCTCTAATGTTTACAACCGAGCGTTTATACGTAACTCGGTAAAGAAAATATTAAAACTGATTTAAACAGTTTTCTGCCAATAACAAATTCGATACAACATAACCATTCATTGAAACCTTTAATAAAGAAAAGGTACTTACATACATTTTACCATTCGCCTATTGGGTCTGATAATGAGTGTCCAATCGAAATTGATCACTCCTTACCATCTTTTTTGTATATTTACCGTCTTGTGAGTAACAGTATAAGCGTAAATATATGTTTTCAGTGTTATAAGACGTTTCTTTTGTTTACTTTCCGTAAAGAAAAGGTAAGAGGTGATGTTTGAACATGGATTTCTTAAATATACATAGAATGGTTGATAGGGATGTTAAATATTAAGCCTTTGTCGTAAATAAAGAAATCTAAAATCTAAAGAAATCATGCGGAGCTTACTTTTGAATTTTTATTGTTTGGACTTCTTTAAATAATTGATTTTATCTCTGGACAGACTAAGTATGTTGGAGGTCATGGATTAAGTAAAAACAAATCACTCCAATTTGAGAAGTAAATATTCGTTTGTTTTGAATAATTTAATTCACATGTTTCAGCTGATCGAATACTGTAAATAAACCTATCAAGTCTAAATTACTTGTTGAATAGGGTAATAGATCGGTTGTACGACAAACTACTGAATAATGAGTTATTTGTATATTTCTCCGGTGTAGTGGGTAAACAATCTTTATAGTGACACCTCAGTTAGGGAAATTGGTGAAGAAATGAGGCAATTATGGCATACTGACAAAACAAAGCACTTTAGATATTATAGTATGTTTAGATAATTAGTGCAGGTAATAATCTGATTGGAGAACAATACCAGATACAATACTACTGCACTTTGGGACAAAGAAGTCTGTCCTTGGGAAGCTGTGGCTGCTGGGCTATTGAAGACAGCAACGTGGTCCAGGGTTATAGCAGGGGGAGTGTACTCATCAGAGGGAAAAGGCATCTTCTATAGGGTCTGAAGCAGCAATGTCATGGTGGGGGGGGGGGGGGGGCAATGAAATGGTCAAAAAGGCACAAGATCATGTGACTTAAGTAACTGATAGTAAAAATGGTAATCAGCAACAATTTTCTCAGTCACAGTTTTATTACTAATGCAAGTTTGACTTACAAAAACAAAGCTAAATTATCAACGTAATCACATTTCTTATTTGTTTTAGGTGGTTCATAATAGAAAACTACGAGGACGGAAGCATTGTTTTATAAATGAAATATCTGACAGTCTCAAATTACTCTCTGTTATTGGTACTCACCTACCTCTTCTTTGACAGATAATTAAACTAAAATAATCAAAATGTGATTTTTTATTTCAGGTTTTCCATTTAAAATATTAACAGTATACCAAAGACGAAAGCAACAAAAGCTAAAAACCATACAATAACAAAAAACAATAGTATGTTAAATGTTAATCATACATACCACTACTATAGGTATTATTGTACCAATGAAAATTTCATTGACGTAACGCTAACTGAATTAGCACATGTGAATACTTGATACAGGATATTATTTTATTTTATAATTGAGCGGAGTTAGCGAAAAGAACGAATCTCTTCGACATCGGACCTTATGCAATCTATGTAATCAATTAAGTCTATATATGGGCTGAACATATTAAAGCCAAACTGACCAGGGTTATTTCGACAAACAGTGAACATTTCATAAAACAAATAAATTTCAGTTTGATAATGCCTGTACAGTTTTAAACTAAAATACAATTTTTAACATTACCCTTATGAGTTGCTATGGTTATTAAATTAACAACACGTAAATGTAAATACAGAAAGAATAATATCGTAATAACATTTGGTAATGACAAGACAACCCATCTACAGTAATCTAGCAAATTGCAAAACACAGTACAAAATAAAAGGACAGTCCAATGATTACCATTGAGTATTGATTATTACATGGATTCGCATAACTAATTTACTAATGACATGTGCATTTTAGGCTTATATAATGCCAGCTAGAAACAAGTCAATTGTTTGAAGGCGTGTTGATGTGGCGAGAGTTATATTTACATACGCAAAATACATTTTGATAATCACCAAAGCTTTAGGGAAAATTTTTAAAAACTGTTAATATATAAATCTTATAATACATAGAGAAAATGTTCTCGCTGTGAGATGAGCAGCTCAAAAGATTCATCAGTGTGCAGTAAATGCCGGACCAAGTTAAGCAAATTTACAATTGATAATTTCGTGGATCCTGGAGTAGTTCCACCTTCTCTACTACAGGACTTAACACATATCGAGCAAATTAATGCTAATAGTGCATGCAACTATTTGCAATTCATAAGGTTTGTATTTATCAATATAATTTACTTATGTTTTATAAGTTGTAATCCTTAATACTTTTAATAAAAAAATAATTTGTAAAGAAGGTTAATTGTTTATATCGCTTCTTACTCCGCGGCAGACTTAAGGCCGCATACCTAGTTTATATAGTTTATAATAGTGGAGATACTTGTAAATTTCTACGTGATTGTTGGAAATGTGATTACCAAGTTCCGAGGAGGTCAGACTAATTTATGTTTGGTCCATAGATATGCTACATCTTCAGGGGGACGGCGCACTAAGACTCAGAAGAAAATTTTATAAGTACGCATAGGTACACATCAAGTTAAAGGTCTTCGTCAGTAAAATAAAATCCCGAAAACCTGAACTCAAATGGACATTCGGGTCAAAATTGACAGCAGTTGAAATATACATTATTTGCAATGATATTGTACGATATCTCTTTGGGAGGGCGCTCGCTAAGACGAAAGAAAATCATGAACGTAAGAATAGGTCAATATCTACATAAAATTAAAGGTATTTATTAGCAGAATACAATACAGCGAATTTGAGCTCAAAAGAACAACTGAGTAAATAATAGCAGCCATTCAAATATTCAAAATGACAGATTGAAGAAATATTTGAACGGCTGTAACTTTTTACTCAGTTGTCCATGTGATTTCAAATATTATGCATTGTATTCTACCAGTAAATGCCTTTTGATTTGATGTTCATATCAATTTAGGTTTACATCTAAGATTTTTTCCGACTTCTAGTGGGCCGTCCCCACCGTATCACTGAATAATGTGTTAAAATTATGTTATTGGTCAGTAACTTTGTACCAAGCCTTGAAGCTCTATCTTGATTATTCTTTTTAATATTTAACTGTCCCTTGACTTTTTTACCCTGTATATATTATCATTGTGAACTAAGATAGGGACTTCTGAGTTTTTGGATAACGTGAAATTTGATATCTTGGAAGTCGGCGTCATCAAAGGTAGGGTATTCAGGAAATGAGTGAGTAGAGAAGAAAGGTTTTTACACAACTCTGCACGCTTTAGCCACCAGACACAAATACATCATTTACTATAGGATGTGTTCGGGAAAGTAAGGGCTGTTGTGACTTTAAAAGACACCAACAATTTCGAAGTATTACCCTAAATAGTTTATAATAATAAAAGTGCACAGTGTGGACAGTTTTATTTTCATTTTTTAACGTTAACGTTTGGATAATTTGACATTTGTGAGTGATACATTTTGATTCGTGTTAAGCTACTGAGCTAATAAAGCTGAAATATTGTTATAATATAATACAACCAATTAAAATTAATTAATTGCCAATATACGACGGATGTACATAGGGCGATTTTGATTTAAAACTTTGCTAGGACTGATCCCCGCCAGCAAAGTTGAATAATATCTTAAGAATGCACTTTATTGATATAGGTAGGAAGATATTTCTATATTGTTTGTTAAAACCATATGTCAGTAAATATTTTTTTATGTTTTTTTTTGTCTACATTGCAGAAGTTCGAGTTTCACTTAACGAGAGCTTTATGTTTCATTAGAAAATATAGTAAATGGTTGGTACAGTTTTCCTTGTGGTTTTCTGTGTAATTTATATCTATTATTATTTAAATAGGCAAAGAGGCTGAACAGCTGTCTAAGCATCAAGGTAAAATATGTTTATCTTATGTTATTAGATTTGTTAGCATTAACTATTTACTTAAAATTTATATAGTGAAAGTTATAGGTAAGTACGCTTTAAATTAAGCGTACCCAAATAAAAAAAAAACATTGTATGAAACAATACGGTAGAACTAAGTTTTGTCTCTGAAATGAATGATAAATAAGAAACTATTTCATACAACATATCTAAATAACTTAAATATTCTCTTCTGCATTTTCTTTCTGTTGCAAAGCATGGGTATGAGCGGCTAGTTAAGTAATATCACACGGATAAAATGTTTTATTACTTTGGAAAAACCAATTATTTACAAACTGCATATCACATAAATTACTAAGAAATAAATATAAAGGTTTTAACTTAAAAAAGATGGCCGACGATAATTACAATATCTAATATACACCTGTTATTCAACTCTATTACTAACAGAAATTTTAATTGGCACCACCAGCTTAATCGTTTCATATCCAGGTCCATTACTTGCGCAACGGCTAGTTAGTATTAACAACATGTTCTTACTGCTGTTCATGGTGAGTGTAAAGTGTATTGCCAAATACTTAAAGTAAAGTTATCCCTTGTTAAGTTATTTAGCTACGTGAAATACAATGAATATCTTTGAATAATTATTTTAAAAACATCTAGACAGTGTTTCTTTTATTACATAACTTGGTCTCAAATTTCATAATACGTTATAGATCATAGAATTTGAAAATTTAATTCATTATTAATTTTATTATTATTATCACCTGCCCTTGATGGTTTAGCCAAAATGTATATAAAAAATATTGGGGGAATCATTGGGTTGTTGTCCACATATACAAAATAATATAAATATTCATATTGAATATTTGTACCTATTTTGTGCCTTTTTGTGCAAAACTAAAATTATGTGCCTCTATAGATTTTGCGTAGTATTCATGTAAAGCCGTGCTCTCCGATTTCACGTTGGAGTCCACATAAAATAATTTATTAATAACTCATTATCTATGTTGGCACAGAATTTAAAATTTTCTGTACAAATAGGCACAAAAATGGTACTTTTAAATTATATAAGCATAACTAAACCTTCTTTTATGTGCAGTTCAGCATGAATTTGAGGGCCCGTTTAAAAACAAAAAATGGGCGTTATGATCTACACTATATATTACAACTCAGTAACTTACATACATATGAGCACATCTAGAGATCTCTGCAAACTTGATCTGTATAGAAGATCTCCACAGTCACTTCTAGTGTTATATAAGACCCTAGTGCGGCCAGTTTTGGAGTATGGCTCTATTATCTGGTCACCATATCAGCTTGGCCATATTGAAATGATAAATAAAGTACAGTTAGGCTTCCTCCGAGTCCTAGGTGTCCGACTGGGCTATGAGTATCGTGCCCCACCAATCTTGGAGCTTCAGGAGCGCTTCAACGTCCAACCTCTCCATCTCAGAAGAAAGCTGCACGACATCCTTTTTTTGTTTAAACTGGTCCGTAGTGAGATCGATTCTACCGATCTACTGGAGGGAATTCATTTCCTGATACCGAGAGGAACACGATCTTCGGATACATTTGCTCACTTGTACTTACCAACTAACTACTCTCTCAATTGTGGATTGGCCAGATTGCAGCGTCTTGGAAACGAAGTCGGATCATAAGTTGACTTCTTCAATGAACAGTTGTCTTCCTTCAGAAGAAAATGCTCCAACATTATCTTTGTTATGCCTGTTTTGTAGCTGATGTTTGTTTGTTTTTCCTAAATCTCTTTCATTCTTGTTATTCATTCATAGATTTATTGTTGTTTGTTGTTATTTTTCCTCGTTGAACTTAATGTCATCATAGTTTATATTTTGTTAAATCTTGAGGAGATATTTGTTGTTGTTACTTTCAAAATCTAGCTTTTCTGAAGTCCAAATTAATATTAATTTTTTTTGTTATTATCTGTACAATACTTTGTTAATGTTATTATCTGTAATTTTTGCCACGTTGTTGTTTTATTGTTATTATTTTTGTTGCAATGCTGCTTTGTATTTTTGTTGTTGTTATCTTTTCATTCTGCTCATGTGCTTAAAACACATATTTTGTAAATGGTGTATCCGTTGATATGAATAAATGAATAAATGAATGAAGAACTTCCATTACTATATCCTTTTAGTGCACTATATTAGTAGGAATAGGTTTTATACTAGAATGGTATAATGCTAAACTGTAGCATTTCGTCTTGCATTGTGAACTTCTATTTGATAATGTTATGTAAACGCTTGATCAGTGAGCTATCATCGTTTATATTGTTGCAGGGGCTCGTGCCTCATATATGTGGAGTCAAAGGTAATACTTCTCATCAAAACAACATCAAATACAGATTTATAGACTCTTATTATTCACGTTTCAGTTTAAGATATGTCCATTAAAAGTTGAGAAGGGATTCAACGTCGGGGTGTATAAAACAAAAGCTTTTAACATTGAAAGGTTTCAATCTTTGTAAAATACTTAAGTTATATTTTTCATACTTAAAAAATATACCTCATGACAATTTTAAACGGTCAGGTTTGTTATGTACTTCTATAGTTATGTAAATACGTGTTCGTTTCGCCTATTAAATGAATACACAATGATGGGTTTTAATAAATAGTACGATTTAAGTCTTCCAATTATTAGGCAATATTATGATAATTACCCAGAATCTGCCTGATCTAACATTGAAACTGCTTTAAGTTATATATAAGTAAAAAATAACTTATATATTTGTATTTTAACATATTATAATATATTTCGGGTCATAGGTCGAAAGATCAAAGCCCATCCGTTACTCTTGTGTTCATAGAGATAAACGTCCTAATAGTTATAAACAAACCTAGATAAACCTAGATAAACAAACCTATTATGACTCTTTGTATTTATCAACAAATAAATTATTTTTTTTGGAGAGATTTACAAATTGGCATTCTTGTAGGGAGAAAGCGGATATTTTGAATTTTGATGACCTAATCTGGCTGATAAATTAAACACTTGTTATCGAATTACTTTAAAATTTTAAAATTTAGCAATTAAAAATCATAGTTATAAATACGGCTTTCATTCCATAATAAGTGCCAATTCCCATAAAATTATTAAATTACTAGTTACTCACTACATTTTCTAGTTCATGATGTGTCTACCGTGATACCCACCTATGCTGTCAACAGCAACAATTTGAAAACTACTTTGTATTCGGACGAAAGTATTATAAAATGTTTCCAAATGGAAAAAGAAGAAAGTTTTGATCTCGGACCGAATGAACACATACGCAACAAGTTTGTAGCAATACTCTACACTTCTCATCCATCTCGGACTGCAAATGTAATGCTGGCAGCCCTATATCCCGACTCTTGTTATTACAGTATTGGAAAGGAAATCAACGTAAAGGATGACGAATTTGAAGTACACCTGCATGGGAAGGGATGGGCGTACTTTAAGGATATAAAATGTGAAGGGAAGAATTTAGAAAGCAATCGCTTGCCTGATACATCGTGGTCTCTTCTAATACCCCAGGTAAGATCATGCCTAAGTAACGCATAGTTAAATGGCTATCACTGCAATTTTTATGACAAAAACTTTCATAAATTGTTTTATCAGTAACCTTGATATGGTTCATCAATGAAACCTGCATGAATAACCATTTGAATTACTTGGCGATGAGTTAAAAAAAACTTGATAAACAGAAAAACTTCAAATTTCATATATTACTTTTGAGTTATTTTTTATATGCTATACGCCATGTGATGTAGTGTGTTGTCTTACAGGACCCAAACGAATATCCTTACGACCCACATTTTGATAAATCTAAAGGTAAGTTAGACACACAAAAGTGTCAGTAGCATAAATCGTGAATACTAAAGATTTACTAAACTCACTTTACATAACTGTCACTAATACTAAACTGTACTAGATATAAGACCAAAATAGTTAAATTCAAACTTAAATGGTGTACCGATTTTGTTGTAAAAGGCAACAAATCAATACAGGTTAATGCGAAGAACAGTCAGCTGGTTTCAACAATAGATCAGTATAGACCAGAATGCACCACGCACTAAAGACGGAGAGGGGATAAGGTTTAGCCGGGCGGCCATCTGTTTAAATCAGTACTCAGTCCTTACCCAAGTCTCATCGTAGCTAGTTCGGTAAAATTGTTTATCGTTCGTGGAAATTAAATTCATTTCGCGGCGTTTGGTCGGCCAATCTTAAATTTCCTTAAAGTCGTTCAGCCTATATCCCTAAGGGATATAATTGCCTCGCGATCGGAAATTAGAATCAGTGTTTTTGTCAAAAAGTGCAAAAGTTCGTTACCGGCCAAACGCAGTCCGCCATTTGAAAATTTCTCAAACGATTCACGAGTTCAATTGATCGCGTGTTGTAGTATACCGGCTAGTTACGTTTTCCCATCCTTTCCCCTTTGTGTTATATTTGTGGACGTCCAAACTGTAAGTAATTTTGTGTATTTATTTGTTAAATTGAGATTTTCAGTGAGTCGCACTTTGGTAAATTTTCCTGTCTTGTTTTGTCAATTCATGTAGAATAAGCACATGTTCATAGGTTCGATCACAATTTGTTGATTTTTAAATCCATTCATATTGTTGCAATCCGCTTTATTTATTAGACTGTGATATTTCTATAGTATTAAGAATAAATATATGAAAATGTTTTTATAGGGTAATTCAGAGTTGCTTTGTAATATTTTTATATAGTATTTGAATTTTGCACAGAGTCATTATTAAAAGTACAATTCGTTACAGAGTGTCACAGTCAGCATTTTAATTTGGGGGAATCATTTAATATCAAAGGAGGGATTAGGTTGCTGGTTCGGCTGAATCGGGAAGTGTTATCGGAGGCTGTGCCAGTTTGCATATAGACGAACCGCCAAAGTGCCAAATTAGCTATAAAACAATAAGCAACGTTCCAGTAAATATTATTACGATTAAACGCAATACTGTTTAATCAGTTGACCTTCGAGAATCGACCTTCATATTTACATCGTTGGCCAACGAACAGGACTTGTTTGGCACTGGTCGTCTCAAATTAAATTAAATACCACTCCTCCGTTGACACCTTCGAGATCGGTGTGAAACCGCGCCAAATATTCCCCTTTGAATAAATCCGTTCAACATTCTCAGACAGATCAATTCCGTCTGATTGTGTCACTCAAGGTCATATTTTTATATTGCACCACACAATCAGAAACTGTCAAACTGGAATCATTGTAAATCTTAAATAATGCTTAATAAATCAAATTGTACTCACTTTTAGTTCTCAATAACCTGGTAGTTCTTTATTATATGCTATAGTATCAAATTGGTAAACAAAAGGTAATTCAGTAAATAATAGGCCACTACAAAAGATTCACCTTTTAAGTGCAACACTAAACACTAGTGTAGTAGTGAGCAAGTAAATTCGGTGTAGAATTAAGACTGGTAAATTGCTCTCATTAAAGGTATTACTTTTTTGGAAGAACTACAAACAGTGCCAAGGGCGTCCCCTAAGGACCTTTTGGGAATATTTATATTTTGCAGGGCCCACTCATATTTTTTCAATAACATCAAGCTTCCACTGCCAAAAAGCTCTGTCTGATATTTTTATTTTCTAGAGTTCTTCCAACCTAGGGGCAACCAACATTTGTAAAGAATTCATTAAAGAGCATTGCAAGGAGTAAATATATTTAAATACAATATTTAAATATATAAAAGTAGTAGGAGGGAGTTGTTTTTATTTTTCTTTACAAATAAATGATATCATCGCGTGATCTCTTGGTACTGTTTGTGTCTGTGCGATTCACTGAAATTGTTTAGATTATAAGAGATTCTATTATTATTGTTATTGTCGTTGTGTATTGTGCTGTAATTAATTGTCAATTGGTTTTTGTCATCGTGGAAAATTCGTTTTGTTAAAGTGAGATATATTATCGTAAATTGAATTATTTTCCTAGCGGGAAAAATGCACCAACAATTTGGGCCTGGGTATAATACAACTGCGAATGACCGACGCGATCGTATGTCAAGGAGAAATTTAGAGGAATTAATCGATTTAAATGCGCCGATACACCAAAACAATGAGTATATTCCACCAAATAATAATGGAGTTAGTTTAGGTAGACAAAATCCCGATTGTCGTTTACCGATCGTAAACGATGACGAACCATCGTCAAATAGACAAAATTCCGCTTGTCGTTTACCGATCGTAAACGATGACGAACCATCGCCAATTAGACAAAATTCTAATAGTTGTTTAATGGACCTAAACAACCACGAATTGACTGAAATGCTATCAAGTACGTCGAATGCAACTCAAGATAACAGTCATGCCAACAGCTCGTCGTACGTGGATATTCAACCTTCAAACGGCGAACGTGCGAGAGAGATGGAGATAGTCACTGCACAACAACGCGCGTCATTTCCTGTAGCGACTGGTTCACTGTCCACTGTTGCCCCGGTCAGTGCCACTGTACACCACCCACACCCACACACTCGACCTCTCACATACACTCACCATGACACACACGTACACGCTCACGCATACAATGTTAGTCAATCACTTACTAAAACCGATCAAATTGTGGTAATTGAACTGATTAATAAATTGAATACAGTCGACGGCACAGATGAACTTGAATTAATTTCATTTCTCAAAAACATCAAACCAATATTTGATATTTCTCCGAATTGTCATACAGAGATCATTAAACTTATTATCCCTAAGGTCAAAGGTCAAATGTTCCAATTGTTTTTAGAAGCAGTATCGAGTAACGCACGCTGGAATGTCTTACATGACGAGATATTACACAGATTTATTCCGTCAATTAGGCGACGAGAGATTGCATCGTTTGAGTTAGATCGACCACAACAACCGAATGAAACTTTTTCAGAATACGTCGATCACATCATATCTATCGCATTCGCTTTAAAATCGTCAATGTCAGAAGGCGAGGTGATTGAGATTGCTTTGACAAAATGTAATCCAACTGTTCGAAGTCATTTTTCGTTCGGTCAAATGCCACAAAGCTTATTTGAGCTAAAATCATTCGCAAATAGAATCACTAGTTCAATGCGTGCCGAAGAGAGATATTTTGGTAATGCAAATCGACGCCCATTGATTAATTCATCGCCTAGGGTTGTGAATCAAACTCGTCACAATCCAATTACGTCGCAAAACGATCTACGTAACAGACCCAGGGAAAGAATTGTAAAATGTTATCGTTGTCAAGGTGAAGGTCATATCGCTAGGAACTGTAGGGTTTCTTTAAACTAGATTCCGACGTTGTCAAGGGCACACAACGTCGAACTGTAAAGTTATCGCCCAACAAAAGTATGCAAGCAACAGATGTATCCGCGAAACTGCCGCTAATTAAGGTATTGTTTGGCAACAATATAGACTGCCTATCGCTGATAGACACTGGCAGTAGTAGGTCATTGATGAGTAAAACGCTTTTTAATAAGTTGCGAAGTGCTAATTTGATCAAACAGTCAAGTAAAATTAATCAATCAGTAGAAGTCGCGAACCGCCAGAAGATAACTGTGCGGACAGAGGTCAAAGTTCATTTTAAGATAGATAATCTGTCATGGGACTACAACTTCTGGGTAGTCAATCAACTTCCGTTACAGTTAATATTGGGGTACGATTTTATGAAGTTTGCGCGAATGTCCGTGAATTTAGGTGATTCAACAGCGGAGTTTAAGTTTAGGGAGAGTGTTAAATCATATTGTTTGATAGGAGAAGGAGAGATCCCAACTTGTGATAAACCCGATTTAGGTGATTCACCGCTCACAGACGACGAACGAAATAAATTCGAAAACCTACTTCGACAGTTTAGCGACGTTGTCACAGACAAAATCGGCTTAGCCAAGACTGAGCCTTACAAAATTCGTTTTAGTAAGGATATTGTGCCATTCCGACAAAGACCTTACCACGTCCAGCCAGATAAGATGGTAATAATGAGAAATACTGTGCAACAATTATTAGATGAAGGGGTAATAGAAAAAAGTGTTTCAGAGTTTAGTTCTAGCGCCTTCCTAAGACCAAAAAAGGAACCCGGAAAATTTAGATTGGTAGTCAATTATAAAGAACTAAATAAGTTTATTGAAATGGACAGTTTCCCACAACCAGAAGTAGATAAAGTTTTTCCTTATTTTAAAGATGCTCGTTATTTCACTACACTTGATTTGAACAATAGCTATTACCAATGCCTATTACACCCTGATAGTAGGAAATACGCCGCTTTCAATGTAGGATATGCCTTATATCAGCCTCGTACTTGTCCCCAAGGAATAAAAATCGGTAGCCAGGTGTTAGGACGCATAGTCGACGAAATGCTAGGAGACTTAAAATTTAAATGTGTAATAAACTTTGTCGACGATCTCTGCATTTATAGCGCAAACCCACAGGATCATTACAATGACTTGAAAATGGTTTTGGAACGTCTAAGGGCCGCCGGACTTACAATCAAACCCAGCAAGGTCACCTTGGCAAAGAGGGGCATGCGTTTCCTGTCACACATAGTAAAGGATGGCAAACTGTATGTGGACGATACTAAAGCTGAAGTTATTAGTAATTTTCCTCGACCACGCAATTTAAAGGGTGTGCAACGATTTATCGGCATGGCTGCTTTTTATGCCAAGTTCATACCTAATTTCTCCGAAATCAGTAGACCATTGAACTACTTGAAAAAGAAAGGCGTAAGATTCAGGTGGGGTCCCGATCAACAATCTAGTTTCGACAAAATAAAGCAAACATTGTCCTCACCCGTCGTACTTCATCTTCCAGATTGGTCCAGGAGATTTATAATGTCGTGTGACGCAAGTGAAAACGCCGTAGGAATTGTCCTGGAACAGGAAATTAATGGCAATAATGTTCCAATCGCTTTTGCCAGCAAAACATTCTCAGGTGCTCAATTAAAATACAGCATGTATTTGAAGGAATTTGCCGCTGTATTGTACGGCCTGGAAAAGTTCAAGGATTATCTCACTGATAACCCATTCATCCTTAAAACCGATTGTATGGCTGTAACATATGTTATGGGCTCCGACAAGACTACTGGTATGTTAGCGCGTTGGAAACTACGATTTTCACAATTTCCATGCGAGAAAATCGAGCATTGTAGGGGCACACAAAACATAGTAAGCGACGCTCTAAGCCGGATGTTTGAAGTCAATGAACCACAACAGACTAAAACCCCAGCGCCACAAAGCAACGTTGGCCCCTACCGAGTCAAAGTCAACAAACAACAGCCGACTAAAACTCTCACACCACAAAATGATGTTGTCCCCGAACAAGTTTTCTTTCTACAACACTTCCCTGAAACCTTTGAGTCACTGAGTTCGAAACAACGCGAAGACCCACAGCTCCTCAATATTATAAATAACATCGAAGATGGAATCGACGTACCGAATTATTTTATAAAAAAGGGTATACTACGTTATCAAAAAAACCCCAGAAATCCGTCTAAAATCGTCGTTCCGACTCAAATGAGGAAAATGTTAATGAAATATTTTCACGACATTTCAATATCAGCTCACCTAGGAATAAAAAAGACTATCGGGCGAATCACACGCGAATTCACATGGGAGAAAATTTTCGACGAGGTTAAGCAATTTGTCAGATCTTGTAGCCTTTGTCAGCTGTCTAAACCAGCTCAAGCGCTAAATATTGGCCTGATGAATTCTAAACCTCCCGAAAGATGCTTTGAACGACTACACATCGATACCTTTGGACCATTAATACGAACCGCAAATGGAAATATGTACGCATTAGTTTGTGTCGATACATTTTCAAAGTTTAGTTGGATTATTCCATTAAAGAAGGCAAACACCAAAACAATCATTGCAGCGCTAAGGGAAAAAATTTTCACTCAACATGGTTTCCCAGAAATAATTGTATCTGACAACGCATCCATTTTTAAGTCAGAAATGTTTAAAAGTTTTTTGTTCAGCTTAGGGATCAAACACATCAATACTTCTGTAGCTAGGCCAAACTCAAATCAGTCAGAAAGAGTCAATCGCAATCTGAAAATAGCGTTAAAGATATTCCATTCGCAAACACAAAAACGCTGGGATGAAAATATCGCATATTTAAACATGGGTTTAAATTCAGCCGTCCACGAAACAACCAAAGCGACGCCTGCGCGAATTTTCTTAGGACGAGAAATTAATCATCCATTGCAATTACAGTGGGACATCGATCAGGAAAACGATACTGACGTTACAGAGGATTGTATCGCAAAAATCATGGATAATATTAAATCAGCCCATCGCAAAAGTAGCGCCAGATATAATAAAAATAGGAATCCATCGCCGTTCCAAGAAAACGATTTGGTATTATATAAAAGGTACATACCAAGTAATAAAGCCAACGAAGTATCGCACAAATTGACTCAAACATGGAAAGGTCCATACGTCGTAACCAATGTGTTAAGTTCAGTAAATGTCAGAATTGAATTAGTCGAGGATCCCAGTATAAATCGAGTAGTTCATGTATGCCAATTGAAAAAATATTATCAGCGGTAGGTGGATCGAATCGTATCGTATTGTTTTGTATGTGTTTAAATGTTTAAATGTGGTAACGTAAGAATCTTTATATTGTATTATATAAATATTGTTGTGAAAAATTGGAGTAACAGTGAGTGATTTCCCTGACAGTGAATAAAAATCGATGATGTGCAACGGTGTAAGTGTGCTGGGCGACTCGCAGGCCAGAAGGATGTGTGAAACATGGACTATAGACGACCCCAGTGTTGATCTCAATGCCAGTGGGACCCGAGGCGGTTGGACAACCACAGACTTAAAATCAGCATTAAGACCCATATTGCCTCATCTCCACAAAACCTGTTTTATTATCTGCTCCATAAATGATATATTCAAGAAAGTACCCCCGAATCAAACCAAATCAAATCTTAAAATCATTACAACCCTCATTAAAGCCAGCAATAGAGACATTATAATTTCGACCATTCCCCCCACCCTCAACAGAAACCCACAACATCAAAACCAAATCAAACAAATCAATGTGTTTATACAATCGTTACATAATCCGCCCAGAGTACGAGTGTTACAATTTCATAAACAATTCCAACCGTTAACTACAATAAAGAAGAATGAATACTTCAAACACACTTATAAAAACGGCAGAAGAGATATTGTCCATCTGTCGAGAGAGGGTTATCGCCTGCTTATCGCATCACTGACAACAATGTTATCGCCGCTCTCTGTCTAACCATTGTTGAGCGCCCGCCCCACCCTCCCCAGCTGACAGCACTACTATCGGACCATTGTTGGGTCACTGTGCTACTGATCCACTAGAGCCAATACACCTGTGCCACTACGCTGCCGACCAACAACAATGTACGAGCCCAGCTGTTCACCACCTCGGACAACACGCTCTGCTGATTACCACATGTGGTAAATCATAGTGTCTATTCTGTGCGCGGGATGCCTTTGTGTGTTTAATGAGGAAATGATCAGTTGGTGTCCTTGTCATAAAATAGATCATTGTAATAGTTTAGTATTGTTGTTACCATTATTTAAATTGTTGTTGCCTGATTGTTGTCGTTATTGTTGATTGTAAATTGTAATTGTGTTCATGTGTATCGTCGTGGTCCACCGGCTAGGCCAAAAATGCTCCGAGGTAGTACGATAGGTTTGACTGTCCTAGGCCGATCACGGATCATTTTTTTCTGCTAGGGGGCATTTTGTACCGATTTTGTTGTAAAAGGCAACAAATCAATACAGGTTAATGCGAAGAACAGTCAGCTGGTTTCAACAATAGATCAGTATAGACCAGAATGCACCACGCACTAAAGACGGAGAGGGGATAAGGTTTAGCCGGGCGGCCATCTGTTTAAATCAGTACTCAGTCCTTACCCAAGTCTCATCGTAGCTAGTTCGGTAAAATTGTTTATCGTTCGTGGAAATTAAATTCATTTCGCGGCGTTTGGTCGGCCAATCTTAAATTTCCTTAAAGTCGTTCAGCCTATATCCCTAAGGGATATAATTGCCTCGCGATCGGAAATTAGAATCAGTGTTTTTGTCAAAAAGTGCAAAAGTTCGTTACCGGCCAAACGCAGTCCGCCATTTGAAAATTTCTCAAACGATTCACGAGTTCAATTGATCGCGTGTTGTAGTATACCGGCTAGTTACGTTTTCCCATCCTTTCCCCTTTGTGTTATATTTGTGGACGTCCAAACTGTAAGTAATTTTGTGTATTTATTTGTTAAATTGAGATTTTCAGTGAGTCGCACTTTGGTAAATTTTCCTGTCTTGTTTTGTCAATTCATGTAGAATAAGCACATGTTCATAGGTTCGATCACAATTTGTTGATTTTTAAATCCATTCATATTGTTGCAATCCGCTTTATTTATTAGACTGTGATATTTCTATAGTATTAAGAATAAATATATGAAAATGTTTTTATAGGGTAATTCAGAGTTGCTTTGTAATATTTTTATATAGTATTTGAATTTTGCACAGAGTCATTATTAAAAGTACAATTCGTTACAGAGTGTCACAATCAGCATTTTAATTTGGGGGAATCATTTAATATCAAAGGAGGGATTAGGTTGCTGGTTCGGCTGAATCGGGAAGTGTTATCGGAGGCTGTGCCAGTTTGCATATAGACGAACCGCCAAAGTGCCAAATTAGCTATAAAACAATAAGCAACGTTCCAGTAAATATTATTACGATTAAACGCAATACTGTTTAATCAGTTGACCTTCGAGAATCGACCTTCATATTTACATCGTTGGCCAACGAACAGGACTTGTTTGGCACTGGTCGTCTCAAATTAAATTAAATACCACTCCTCCGTTGACACCTTCGAGATCGGTGTGAAACCGCGCCAAATATTCCCCTTTGAATAAATCCGTTCAACATTCTCAGACAGATCAATTCCGTCTGATTGTGTCACTCAAGGTCATATTTTTATATTGCACCACACAATCAGAAACTGTCAAACTGGAATCATTGTAAATCTTAAATAATGCTTAATAAATCAAATTGTACTCACTTTTAGTTCTCAATAACCTGGTAGTTCTTTATTATATGCTATAGTATCAAATTGGTAAACAAAAGGTAATTCAGTAAATAATAGGCCACTACAAAAGATTCACCTTTTAAGTGCAACACTAAACACTAGTGTAGTAGTGAGCAAGTAAATTCGGTGTAGAATTAAGACTGGTAAATTGCTCTCATTAAAGGTATTACTTTTTTGGAAGAACTACAAACAGTGCCAAGGGCGTCCCCTAAGGACCTTTTGGGAATATTTATATTTTGCAGGGCCCACTCATATTTTTTCAATAACATCAAGCTTCCACTGCCAAAAAGCTCTGTCTGATATTTTTATTTTCTAGAGTTCTTCCAACCTAGGGGCAACCAACATTTGTAAAGAATTCATTAAAGAGCATTGCAAGGAGTAAATATATTTAAATACAATATTTAAATATATGAAAGTAGTAGGAGGGAGTTGTTTTTATTTTTCTTTACAATGGTCCTAAGTAATTTTGTGAGTTGGCCATTAAATTATATGTAGTTATATAGTTGCTTTTTTATTAAGCTTACAAGGTGATAACATCTTTATCGTTTATCATCACGTTGTTTTTTTTTCGAAAGACTAATATAATTAGGGTAAGTTTTTCATCAAGGTTTTAGGTCTAGATTTAAGTATTCTTTTGATAGGCATGTGGCTTACGGTAAACTCTAAAGTTTGTGTTACTTTATTTATAGATTACAATGATTTTGATTTTCAGTTATAGACGTTCTTACTGGTTTTCAACAACACTCCTATGGTATTTTAGAAAACATCAAAATTACTGTCCATACCGAAACAGAATTTGTTTTAAAATGCTACGAACTAAATGACGAAGAAAGAGAGAAATTAGATTCTAATGCAAAGTACGTGTCGATTCTATTTAATGACATAGAAGGTACAAACAGAGTAGCCTTACTTATCATGACCACTTGTGATAATATGGACAAAAACATTATAAACGTGAAAGACAAAAAGATGGAAGTATGGTTGTTGAATGACAAATGGGCGTACTTTGAAAATGGCAAGTGTAAAGGAAAAGAATTTGTAAATAGCCAACTTCCCGTCACAGTATGGATATTGCAAGACTCAAAGAAAGAGGTATGGCAGTTGTTGTTGAAATAGCTTTAATTTAAATAGTTAATCTTAAATGCAAGGGAAGATTTATTTAATAAACAATTAAATATAATATAACAAATTGATTTAACTTTTACGAACACCCATAGTAAATTCTTATTAGTCTTAACCTTTTTTATTAGATTATATAATTTGTTTATTAAACAAAACATGATTCTTAAAAGTATAAAATGGTATGTACGATTGTGATCGTGTTTGAACTCAATTTTAAATCGAAGGATGTGAGTGAGCGATGTTAAGTAAAGCAACATACAGTAAAAATACGTGCGTACTTTACAGCATGCATAATGTCATGGGGATGACTTCATAAACATTTGTATTACACCACACATATGCACACATACTTACATAAACCTTGACGCGTTTGTCCCCTTTCTTTCACTCGACGAAAGACAGATATTTACTAGATAACCGATTTTTGACGAGGAAAAGAAAAAAAATCAAAATTTTACTACTGATATTTTCAGATTAGCTTATGGGATGTTTCAACTGCATTTAATAACAAACTTTCTTTTGCGTTTATAGGATATACTGAAAAAAATGAGCCAAGGACTTGGACAAGGTAAGGATAGTTATTTATGACTTATACGAAATCATCTACTGGGTCTTTTTTATTCACATTCTATGATGATTAAACTAAAATTGAAATGCATTTTTTTGTATCACGTAATGTACGCACATTGTTACGGGATGGGTACTAATACTATAGATGAAAACACGTATTTAAGTCACATACATGTTGGAGGTAATCACGTGTTCAAGGCGGGTATGAGAATGAAAGAGAGAAGATCCGGCACACGGTCACCTCATGCAAGTGGTGTGATCGGGTTCCACCAATAGGATTTATTAGACAGAGTATGATTTACAGTTTGAATGTTCCGTTGAAAGAGTAATAAAACATAAAATAAGACATGAATAATTAAGACGCATATGATACAAAGAATGATACATATATATATATATTTATATATATAAAACACATTTAATGACTTTTTTTATTACGGTAGTGTTGACACTATTGTATTTTTACCAGCTGTTAGATGTAAACGCAAGTAGTGAATTGCATATAAGATACTATTAAGCCAATAGTCTATAGTTAGTGTTTTGTGGATAAAACGTTTAAGACCAAAATTCAAACTTAAATCTCCTAAGTTATTTTATGGGTTGGACATAAAATTTTATGTAGCCTTCATAGTTGCTTTACTATTAAGGTTACAAGGTGATTAGCTAAAACCTCTTTCGTTCATTAACTCGTACGTAGAAACTTTAGATTTCAGTTGAATGCTTTCTCCTCTAAACACTTTCTATATGATATTAAGATTATCCTAAGGACTTGAACTAACACATAACAAACAAGAGATGAAGGGAATAGGAAAAGAATTAAGTTTACGAGAGTATATGCGTTTGCAACACAAACTAAAATGAAATAAATAATACAAGTTAAACCGGTTTACCGTGCCTTTTATCAACAAATTGCATATGAATGACTAAATCATAACCAATATTTGTACAGGAAATTCTATTAAACATTTTAGCATTTTTTGTTTTATACGTTTTACCTAAGGGACTATGTTTTATCTATGTTATTACTATTTTTTTCAGTTTTGACAGCTAAAGCCTATTTGCCAGAACAGATTGCAGAAATCAAAAAACAAGTTAAGCTAGCTGCGTATTACAAGGAGTTTGTACTGCATTGCTATGAACTTGACAAAAAGGCAACATTTAAATATAAACTACAACCAGACGTATCTTCAAAATACATAGCAACAATCAAGAATACAAATGAAAAATCCAAAGTAAAATACTTGCTAGCCTTATTGGTTTTAAAATCATGTGATAACATGAACAGAGACATTATAAACATAGCTGTTGACGGTTTTGGTTATGAAGTTAGTCCGGGGCAGTCGAAGAGATTGATGCATGTTTCACATAATGTCTTTCAAACGTTCACTAGGACGATGTCTTACCCTTATTGTAAGTGGACATTGCAAAAGCCTTAAGATGGCAAGAAATGAGCAGTTGGACCAAAATACTCTTCTCAGTTACAACCAAAACAAAACATTACCTGATTTGCTCAGATGATCAGCTAAATATACATCTTTGACAAGCATTAAAATACCCCAGGTACGAGTGTTTGATATGTGGAGTTTATTTTACCATCTCCTTTCTACCTTTGGTTATATTTCTAAAGTAAGTATCAGTGGCGAGTGTCAACCATCAAATGTTCCTCTATTGAGTGGTTTTAATATAAGCTATATGTATTCTTTTACAGTTAAGTGCAACAGATAATTTTTCGTAAGTAAATAAAATGGTAATACATAATTTATAGCTCTATAAATGAATTTTATTTAATTACAATAAGAAATATGCATAGGAAAATAAGCAAGGTTCTATCACAAGTATACATTGCAACTCAGCAATCAAATAATATTTTCATATTTTTCTTGTTTTTTTCCGAAGTAATAAATAAAAACTAGTCTTAACAGGATTTTTTATGATTATTATATACATAGAAATATAATCGTCACCACAAACCTGTAGATTAATCGAATTTCCATCCGTTTGATTGAATTTCATTATTTTTGATAGAACTGTTATACCTTACATCAACAGTCCAACGATTTGTGTGGTTCAATTCACCTAATTCACGACACGTTTTGCCTATTCAGGCGTTGTCAAGTGAACCATACGAGACCCCTAACCTAAACGAAATAAGTCTAGACCATGGTTTCTTAACAGTCTTAAGTTTTGATGGTAATATAATAAGACGATGATAACAAGAAAATGCAAGTTAATATTAATCACAAAATTCTTATTACATATTAACATAGTTTTAAAATCTTTCAATAATTTAAAGTGCAAAATCACAGTGATAGGCCTACAAATCAATAAGGGATATAAGTTAGTCTTGATAAAGCTTTGGCCATTTAAGAGTCTTCATTAGTGCCGCGACCTTGAAGGTAGTTCCATTAAACTAATGATAATCTTGTGACCGAGTAACGCCTTCTCAGGTCGTCATAAAGATAATTTACCTGTCAAATTAAAGGTATGACTGTTCTCTAAGAAGATACATTTTAATTTGTTTAAAAAACAAACGTTATTTTTTTGTAAAAACATATAAAATTAGCAAAATATTTTTCAGTTTAACATTTGTTTACAGTAAATTAGTGAACATCTGTAAACAAATTATAACTAATCACTTTTTTCTAAGTATATAATGTTTGTTTTAAATATTTAAGTTTTCAAGGCAATTTCCTAGAGTATGGTCATACCTTTAATTTGACACGGAAATTATTCTTTAATAACAATCTGAAAAGGCGCTATGTGGTCACAAGTTTAACATTAGTTTAATGGGATACCTTCAAGGTCACCCAAATGCTACTTTCATGCCATAGGTCGTAGTTATACGTTTGTCCAATTGTGCCCACTAGGCAAGCTAAAAACTGATTTCTAAGCTAAGTCATATTACATAATTACACTACATAAATACTCACCGTCGGCCACTTAATATTTATTTTAAAGTAATGTATTGCTGATGGCAATATTCTGTATGTAATTCGTAAGGATATATTACTGGTCTTGGAGTGTTTTCAAAATTATATAATACCTACTATAAAACTTAATTAAAACACTCTACAAAATTAAATTCACAAAAACCCAAAGGTAGTGTGTTTAAGAACCCAAGAACAACAGTAATGTTAATGCTGTATAGACATTCTAAAAGTTGTCTAGAGTTATTTACTTTAGGATCATACATAAATGCCTAAGAATGTAACTGTCAAGTTGTACAGTTCGCGGATATGAATAAGCACATATTCTCATTTGTAGGCATTTTTCTTGATTCGGACATGAAATTTAATATGCGTGTTACTCGAATATCTAACTTACTAAGAGTAATATTAGTTAAATGCTATAAATTAAGTATGTATTTACCTACAGTATCAGCATAAGGAGACTGTTCTAGTTTTCACTAGTACGAATAATTGTAAACTCTGGGATTTCTATTTACTATTTTTTCACAGAATATATCAAAGTATATCTTAGGAATGTGCTACAAAGATTTTTGTTTGTTTTATATATTGAAATTTCATATAATTATTCAGGAGTAACGTCCTTTGACGCGTTGCTAAATATGCGCTTAAATATGACCTCGGTTGACACTATTTCAATGATGATTTCAGAAGAAATAATGATGCAGGATATAAGCCAAGGCATAGACAATTTGAATTAGAAAGGCATTTTAATAACTAACTATAGAGCATTCTCTTTGGAACACAGAGTTCGAAGATCAGTAGCAAGTAAGAATGAGCGTAAAGTAAAATAAAACGATGATTTCATAGAAACCCATAGCCTACCCCATCGATGTATATAGGTTATATTTATGAAACCACATCACCCCTAGTCCACCCAAAGAGGCAGCCGCCTGAAAAGCGTACAGAGGGAAAATAAACCAGACTAAACGATCAGGGTAAACGGCCGTTCGTAGTTTGAAAACATGTCTTATTTGTGGCAGGGAGGGGTGTTTGTGTAAACAGTAAGCATAGTTTAACTATCATACCATAACTATCATTAGATATTTCGCCAAGTGAATATATATTCACTTATATTCCTATATCGTAACTATATATTGCTAACAATTTTAAATGGTATTGGAAAATGTTATTCTAAAACATCTGCGCGCACGAGTTTGGACAAAATTTAGCATGTTATGATCATTATAACTCTAAACAAAGGGGTACAACTCCCAATGCTGTAAATATTACGGTTCGAGAGTTTTCGAAGCTTTTGTTCTTTTCCCCGTAAAATATCATAGTTATTTTTTGGCCCTAAAGGGTCATTCACAAGCCAATAAGAAAAAGATGTGTCAAATTGCTTGTAAGTTTATTTGATTTTGTTTAATCAATTTTTTTTATTAGCTTTACTAAGACAGTAGTCGTGTTTTTTGTATCAAGACAAAAAGCTTAATGAAATTGCCAGCTATAGGATATATTTTTTACAACTTATAAAATAACGCTGAGAATACATCTAGGTTATGTTATGTTTAACAAATTTATTTACCTTGGTAAATGTAATTGCTTTCGATAGATTAGCCTTCATTCTTCATTTCATATATAATTTAGACAAACAACATGTTTCTAAAACTAATTACTTATCATCAAAATATCAATACGAAGGGAAATTCACCGTAATTGCAGACTGTAATGAGAAATTTAACAATCTCGTTCATTATATCATATTATTTACAGGATTGACCTGTTAGGTAAGTTTGTTGTAAACTTTGATAACCAACTTAGTTTCAGTTGCACCGTGATCTCGGCCCTAACTCCTTTATTAACTGCATAATCTTGCCGACTTGAAATACGTGTTTGCACTCATAGATGATAAAATCATCTAATTGTAAAGCATGATTTAATATGTATTTATTTATAATTTTGAATCAGATAAAGAAAATTTTAAGTGGTTAGTCCATCCATACAAACTATCATAAAATTGAGGACGTTTCTGTATGTCTGTCTGTCTGCGTGGCTGTCACGACTAAAGTACTAAACCGATGGAGCCAAAATATTGCCAAAATATTGCCTTAATTAAGCAAAAAGATAGTCTACATATCTAGGACTGTTATAGGCCTATTCACTTCCTCCCGAGCTACTCTCCATGGACATACAAAGTTTTGAGGTGATGTTTTCAAAAGTAATATTGATTGGCCTCCATGAGAAAACTCACAATTTTTACTTTTTCTTTGACTTTTCAATGTAAACAAGCATAACTGCTAAATGCTTATTTCACAATTATTTCAGACAGCTGATCGAAACAAATTAAATATAATATTTTACACAACTATTTGGTACGTTTGTTTATTTTAAAACGTTGTCATTGATTATTTATTCTAAAACTATGTAGTTAATTATGGAAATAAAAAGATTCTATAACCATTGCTGTATCAACCCAGAGCTAGTTTTCAATATCAAGATATGCTATGATATTAAAAGGACAATCGTTCTTCGAAACTGGATTTTCTTCCCGTTGAGCACGGGTAGTTTATCTTGTTACGAATAAGAGAAATTTAACATCTGCTTAGTTTACTGACTTTTAACCATCGCGACTTTAATGAGAAAATTTAATCGTAAACTATGTTAAAGAATGTTTTTATTTTTCCCACTGTGCTCTATTCTGTATCATAACGATGTCTTAGAAGAGCATTTATGAAAAAAAGAGCATAACATTTTAGCTTTAAAACATACAGGGTGCGGCCAAAACCGATCCATTTACAGCAGCGCACTGTTCAGCGACAGGTTGTCTGAGGGTGGTGGGAGTAGACTCGTTGGAAAATCTACACGATGCCATTTTTTATCAGTGCGTATGTTATAGATTCGTTTAACAAAAGGTAATGATTCAGTCATTGCAACTCATTTCCATGACTTCTTTAAAATAGGTTGACATTGAGAGGTTCCCTCGCCAATATCTGTATGGATAATGAACAAAATTTAATACATTAATACAAATTAATTTTTAGGGGTAAATATTTAGATCAAACCCCAAAACTAGTGTAACTGAGTGGTCAGACATGTTCACAGGAGGTGCTTGTTTTTGCGCGGGCCTACGAGGACTGTTTTCCACAGCAGCACAAACTCTATGGAATATTAGTTGTCTGGCGTCCAGTCTGCTTTGTACGGCTTGTCAGCTTCTTTTTGAATGCATCCTGTATATGTATTTATATTTCGGGTTTTAAGTCCTCATTGCATAAAACATTGTTTTTTTTTTCAATTAAGTCTTTAGTACATACTTAAAAAAACGCAATTGCAAAATAATACCAATATTTTATTAATATGAAAGTATTGATACAATTTTTATCCGGTGATGAAAATCGAACCAATATTAAGTGATTTATAGTAATTTAAATAAAGTAATTTTATTAAGAAATTATTGAACATTGCATATTTATATTACTTCTAGAAAATGGATTCCAAATACATAACTATTTACAAAGTAATTAATACAAATTACGTAAAAACTGATCAGATTTTTTTTGTCTCTTTTGTGGTGAATCCGGAATTGCAGCTCTAACTTCTTCCTCCTCTGTACGCGCGTCATAGCTTATTTGTGGTTAGTCTTTCTCTGGCGAGTTGTTGCAAGAAACACCTTTACAGTGTTGTACATTTCACTCCGTTCATCCTAAAAGTGAAACCACTTTTACACCCGTTTCCATACTTACTTTGCATACTATATAGTATATAGTATATTGTGTTGAGAAGATCTTGTGGTGCAGCATCAACATTTGTTGGATTTGGAATCATCCCATGCTTAGATGACTTCCAGCTCCAATCAGTAGACTTTACCTTCCGCGTGGTTGAATTGAGTCTTCATTAGTTTCCCATAAGATTCCGCTGAAGGAGTAAATACATTGCAGCCAGTGTCAAGTTTGACGAAACAATGTCCCTTACATAAAAATATTTTCTTTCAAATGAAGAAAATAACGCAATCTCATAACATATGCAATGTAAAATAATTTCTTAATAAATTAACATTATTTAGATTACTATAAATCACTTATTATTGGTTTAATTTTCATCACCAGATACTCAATGGATGCGAAATTTTATGCTCTACAATTCCAATTACATTGTGTTTTTATGTAGGCTGGACGGCTTTTGACGTTTTAGCAAAAAGTAAAAATTAACCATAAATTTCAAGGTTTTTGTGGTCCCAGGTCAGAAGCTCACCTGAAAAAATGCGACAAACTTCAAACCCTTTTACATCTGGATAAAACTAAAGGATTAAAACGATTTCCAGCTATCCGGGAATTTCTCCTGTCACAGCGAATTTTTTAACTAATTTTACTGGCCTATACTGCTTTCTAGTAAATTTGGTTTAGCGTCCAATATGTCATAAAGCTTTGCACAAGCTTAAGTGGTACACCTACTGTTACTTGTAAAGCATCACATTTATAGAAACCCTTTTATTTGTCTATTTCCCCCTTTGTCTATATACACTTTGATTTGAAACTTCTTTTTTAAGTGGTCTTAGCAGCGAAAACGAAGCTTTGAAAGAACTATGACAAAATAACCTATGACTTTCCTTACACATATTTAAAATCCGTTTATAACTTTACAATAGAACTAAGTAGTACACATAAAACCCATATTATTAACAAGGCTATAAACTGTTGGATTTAAGGAGGAAAAATGTTAATTTAAGAGAATGTAATGAAGTCGAATTTAACAATATTCTAGCTACAACATGTAACAACAATAATGAAACTGGCTGAGAATGGTAAATGTTTGTTATATAAACTACAACTATTTATATACTGAATTATTGTAACGTCATAAGTAAATTACTATTCATGTAGCTATTTTTACTACTATTTTAATCAATCGTTTACGTAACTAAATCATCGTACGTAAAATTTTAGGGGTTCCAGCTGCTTTTTCGAAAAAGTGTTTAAGTTATTTCGAAAGAAATGTCACATGTCATAACTACAAACCCATCTTAATTTTGACAATTGCTTGCACGACTAGTTAAAGCTATTATTCTGTAGGTAGCTTACATACCGATTAACTCAATGAGAGTGCAACGTGCTACTAATTCAATAATTGTTATATTACTAGTAACTAGCAAATTATTAGTTTATTTCTACTTTCCAAACCTACCACTGGGTATTGTAGGCGAGAACCCATATGATTCAAATAAACACAAATATATAAATAATTTGGAGTAATAGTTACGGTAGTAATTTATTTCATAAGCGTTTCAGTTTCTTTAATGATACAAATAGTCCATTGTTTATCCATTGCTTGTTTAAACATTGCTGATACCAATTCTACAGCTACTCCAAATGTACAAAATGCATGATGTATTTGAAATGTAACTCTACGCACTAAAGACATAGAACTATATTAACAGCCATTAACACAACCATGATGTACATGGTTAACCACAAGATGTACATTTTGTATTTCAAAATAACGTGTTTACTAATTTACTGTTTTAATTACCTACTCAACCCTTTTCAAACAGCCATAAAACTGTACACAGGCTAGTCTTAATTTTGTCCATCCCTCTTCGAATTTTAGGTTAAAAGCTCTTGACAATGTGTTCCAAACGAAGCTGTCCACCCCTTAGCTTAAACGCCTGAATTGACACAACCCTCTAAAAAGTGGGGACGCCTTTCTACAGCCCCTCTCAACATCCTCTAAGACCTTGGTCAATTTATGACCCTCATTAACGTCTTAAGATTGGAAAATGTTATTTAATTTGCATACATCAAGTCTAAAAATTAAACAATCAAAGTGTTATTTTATCGTATTTGTTTAGTAAATATCCATGAAATATTTAAACATTTGAAAACTATTCTATAAGCTAAGTAAATTGTGAACATACTTAGCCCGTGTGTTTAGCCCTGTATACAAAATGAATGCCTAAAAAACTAAACACAAATTTCTTAATGTATAATACTCTTTATTAATAAGTTTGTTATTAAATTGTTTATGTAACGTTTAAATTTTTTAATGGGAAGGCTTCAATTTTGCAATTGTATTTTATTCTATAACGTATTTTAATACCATGAAGTTAAATTATATTGTTGTATTCCAAATCAAATCAAATATTCCTTATTGCCAGTTGATATTGACATGCATGTCAATTGTATTTATGTCATTGGTCACAATTTATAAATAAAATACAAAATAAGAAATTACATAGGCCCTAGATACACATTATCGCAAAAAACATCAAACCTAAAAAATACAACATATTTACGATAAATTGTAGTTTACATAATCTATTACGCTATAAAAACTATTTTACAAAAGAAATAATTTAAGTTTACCTTTGAAATCCCTAATATCACTAACCAACTTTTGTTTGTCGGGCAGTGAGTTAAATAGCATGATGGACCTATAAAAATGTAGTTTTTGAAAAAAGAGGTGTTATGGTATGGAGTATTCAATTTGGTTTTATTCTAATGTTGTAACTGGATTAGGGAATCAAAGGTAAAAAAAAACTATGGTTTTGTTTGAAAAAAGTTTTAAGGTATTGAGAATGTAAATGCAGGGACAAGTAAGAAGTCTTAATTTGACGAAAGCTGATCTACAATACCATATCCGGTCAATGCCAGTAATGACCCGTACAGCCTTCTTCTGGAGCGATAAGATGTGCTTTGTTGTATATATTTCAGATCCCCAGATAGTGACAGCGTATGACAAATAGGGTAAAACCACCGTAAAGTAAGCAGATAAAAGAACTGTTTTGTCTGTGAAAGGAGCAAGGTGACGTAACACGAAAATGCCCTAATTCACCTTTCGGTCAACGTTGACAGTTTGACATGAGTTTTTTTTTTTTAGGGTTTTCGTCAATGTAAAGCCCTAAACATTTCAAATTGGTCTTAAAAGATACTTTTAGTGTCATCAATCCAAACACTGAGATCAGTGCGTTGTCTTGACGACATGCTGAAGTCCACCAAAGTGGTCTTGGCATTATTTATGACAAGACCATTTTCAGGAAACCATTGGAAAACGTTGTTAGACTCAAGAAAAGTAGCAACTTCCATGGGTTTATCAAACAAAAATTGACGTATCATCGGCAAAAAAACACAAATAGGCATCTGAAACACTATTTCAGGTGTCATTTATGTATAAATGATATTTACATTAAAATATAACCAAAAATAGAAATGAGGTGGTAAAATAAACTCCACATATCAAACACTCGTACCTAGGGTGTTTTAATGCATGTCAAAGATATATATTTAGCTGATCATCTGATCAAATCAGGTAATGTTTTGTTTTGGTTGTAACTGGGAAGAGTATTTGGGTCCAATTGCTTATTCCTTGACATCTTAAGGCTTTTGCAATGTCCATTTACAATAAGGGTAAGACATCGTATCGGTGAACGTTTTTAAGACATTATGTGAAACATGCATCAATCTCTTCGACTCCCCCGGACTAACTTCATAACCACAACCGTCCTCATCTATGTTTATAATGTTTCTGTCCATGTTATCACATGATTTTAAAATCAAAAAGGCTAGCAAGTATTTCACTTTAGGATTTTCATTTGTATTCTTGATTGTTGCTATGTATTTTGAAGATACGTCTGGTTGTTGTTGAAATGTATATTTTGCCTCTTTGTCAAGTTCATAGCAATTCAGTACAAACTCCTTGTAATACGCAGTTATCATAACTTGCTTTTTCATTTCTGCAATCTTTTGTGGCAAAGAGGCGATAGCTGTCAAAACTGAAAAAAAGTAAAACGTATGAAATTAAATGTTTAATATAATTTCCTGTACAATTATTGCTTATGATTTAGTCATCGATATCCAATTCGTTGATAAAAGGCACGGTAAAATGGTTTAACTTGTATTATTTATTTCATTTTAGTTTGTGTTGCAAACTCATATGCTCTGGCAAAAACTTAAAATTTGTTCCTATTTTCTTCATCACCTCTTTGATATGTGTTAGTGTTGTATTAAGTCTGTTCTTTTTATCATGTGTTTAAATATGTTTGTTGTCAGATGTTTTTGTAAACATTGGTTTAGTTTGAAAATAGAGTTTGTTCAAGCAAGATGTGTGAATAATATTCTTGTATAAGAAATAGAACATGGTGGCAGCTTAGTGGATTTTTTATCGAACAAAGTCTAAAACCACGCATGATGTCAAGTAAGGGCAGAAAAAAACGAAATACTCGTAGGCAAAGGTATGAGGACAATGAGGAGGATGCCCAAAGTGAATTCAACTACATGTCAGAAAGGGATTCTAGAAAGACTGAAGGTGAGTCACTAGGTTTTGCATTGGGACAGACAAACCGAGAAAATAATGCAGTAATGTGTACTCCTACTCCTATGATAAATCTGACGTTACCAACTCCAGATTCCTTCTCTTTTACTCCGAATGAGTGGCATTCCTGGAGGAATCGCTTTCAAAGGTACAGACGGGGGTGCGGTCTGGATAGCACTTCCGACGCTCGGCAAATCGATGTACTTTTGTTTACAATGGGTAGTAGGAGTGAAGATATTTTCGATTCGTTTTCACCAAAACCGAATACTTATGACGAGGCTCTTCGGGCCTTTGATGCATACTTTGTGCCAAGACGAAATATCATTTATGAGAGAACAAAATTTCTGAGACACAAGCAAGGGAGTGATCCATCTGAAAAATTCATAACAGATTTGCATGGTCTTGCAAAAACGTGTGCATGGGGTGAACTGAACGATGAGATGGTGCTTCTGGTCCTCATTATTGGTATGAAAGATGAGGCTCTAAGTGATAGACTCCAGCTGGACTCTCAATTGACTCTGGAGAAGGCGATTAATACCTTGCGCCAACACGAGGAGCTAGAACGCCAAAAACGTGAGCTCGCCAATACTAATGTTTTTATGGTGAATCAAACTTCAATACAAGTTGGTAAAACAAATCTGTCTGAAAGAGCTGGTGAACAGAAATTCACCGAGGATGCTATGAGAAAAAAGTGCAGGAAATGTGGTTATAACTGGCACGGATCACTGGCCGAATGCCCTGCTAGGAAAGCCAAATGTGACAAATGTTCCGAGATTGGACATTTTTTTCGATGTTGTCCCTCCCGCGAAAAGTGGATGAGAAAAAACAAAAACGCTGTTAAGGAAATCGAACAGCAAGATTCAGACAGTGGTTATCAACAGGTTCCTGAGATTTTCATAGGGAATATAGACAGCAGTGACAAAGCCTGGGTCCAGGAGGTAAAAGCAAGCTGTGGAAACCAAGATTTAGGTCTTATAAAATTTAAACTTGACACAGCAGCTGATGTAACCATGATTCCTGTAGGAGTTCTTGGTGATTTTATTAAGACTCTGCCTCTAGGAAAGTGCAAATCCCCTGTGTTTAGCGCAAAGAAGAAAGAACGAATCAATATTTTGGGAACTTTAAGGCTAAAGCTTGAACATAAGGGTGTATCAGTTTATGATCTTGCGTATATTTCTGAGGAGATCACTGGTCCACTTCTTAGCAGACGTTCCTGTGAAGAGCTGAACCTGGTGAGGAGAATTTTTTCTGTAGATTCACATGATATTGACTGGGCTACTAAGTATCCTAATTTATTTCAAGGGCTGGGAAATATGAAAGGAGAGTACAAGATTGAAATGAAGGAGAATGCAGTTCCTTACGCTATATCCACCCCCAGGGTTGTACCAATACCTTTAAAAACCAAGGTGAAAGAGCAGTTAGACGATATGCTTGAGAAAGGAGTGATTGTTCCAGTTGAACACGCGACTGATTGGTGCGCACCAATGGTAGTTTGCGCAAAAAAGGGAGGTGGGGTTAGGATCTGCGTAGACCTATCCAAACTCAACAACAGTGTGAAACGTCGGTTTTATCCTATCCCAAAGATCGAACTTTCATTGGCCGAGATCGCGGGAGCCAAGTACTTCAGCAAGATCGATGCGAATTCCGGGTTCTGGCAACTGAACCTTGCAGAGGAGTCACAAGATTACACAACATTTATCACCCCTTTTGGGAGGTATAAATTCCGTAAGTTACCTTTTGGAATTACGTCCGCTCCTGAAGAGTTTCAGCGCCGCATGTCAAAAGCTTTAGAAGAGGCAAAGAACTGTTTAGTGCACATTGACGACTGTCTGATATGGGGAAGAACGAAAGAAGAACACGACGAGTGTCTTAGGGCCGTTCTAGAGAGAGTGCAAGCTAATGGAATCACCTTGAATAAGCAGAAGTCGGAGTTCTGCAAGAAGACTGTGACATTTCTGGGGTTTGTGCTGTCTAAGGACGGAATCAAGCCTGATCCAAGCAAGGTACAAGCGATTGTGGACTTACCAGCTCCAAGAAACGCTAATGAAGTACAAAGATTCATGGGCATGATCACTTTTCTGGCAAAATTTATTCCGAACCGCAGTGAGATTTTGGAGCCAATTACGAGCTTGTTAAAGACTAAAAACGATTTCTTTTGGGGACCAGCTCAAGAAAACGCTTTTGTCACAGTAAAACAGATTTTATCATCAGAGCCATGTTTGACTGTTTACGATCCGCAAAAACCCTCGATTCTTTCTTGCGATGCTTCAAAAAAAGGTCTTGGAGCGGTTTTACTTCAAGTTGAAGGAGAAAACAAGAAACCTGTGGCATATATATCTCGGACTCTAACGCCTGCTGAAGAAAACTACAGTAACATTGAGAGAGAAGCGCTTGCGTGCACATGGGCAAGTGACCGTTTGAAATGTTTCCTGATGGGTAAAATGTACACAATTGAGACCGACCACAAACCGCTTGTCTCAATTTTCAAAACACAAAATTTGGACGAGCTCTCACCGAGGCTACAGCGGTTCCGAATGCGTATGATGAGATACGATTATCGCATGACCTGGACCCCAGGAAAAGACCTTGCCATAGCAGATCTACTATCAAGAAGTCCTATTCCGGCTGACGAAGATGGCGAATTGACCGAAGAAGTGGAAGCCTTCGTCCACGAAATCAGTCTGATTAGTATAAACACTACAGATGAAAATGTGACAAAGGTACTTCACTCACAAATGAGAGATCCAATCTGTGCACAACTTAAGTTACAAATTTTAGACGAATGGCCTGTAAAATCAAGTTTACCTAATGAGATTCAAGAGTACTTTAATGTGAAAGACGAGTTATGTTGTATTGATGGGCTATTGCTTCGAGGAACTCGGATGATAATACCTCAAGAACTACGAGCGGAAATGCTCGAGAGGCTTCACAGTGGACACTTGGGAATCACAAAAACAAGGAAACGTGCTTTGGGAACCATGTGGTGGCCTGGAATTTCAAGAAATAGAAAGGAAAATCAAATCGTGTCCAGTGTGTATTCAGAACTCAACTAATCACAGTGAACCATTGATTCCGAGAACTGTCCCGGATTACCCGTGGCAAAATGTGTCTGTTGACTTGTTCAAACACGAAGACAAGTGGTATATGGTTATCGTGGATCACTACTCAAGATACTTTGAAGTCGAGGAAATGCATCGAATGAGGGCTTCAGATGTGATTCGGGTTTGCAAAACCACATTTTCACGTTTTGGAATTCCTCAACGTGTTTATTCAGATAGTGGGACACAATTTCACCATATTGACTCAAGTGAATTTAAATTGTTTGCAAAGGAGTGGGGGTTCTCCACATTCAGAAGTAGTCCCCACCACCATCAGGGAAATGGGGCAGCTGAAGCAGCTGTGAAAGTAGCAAAAGGGCTAATGAAGAAAAACAAGGATAAATTTGAACTTGCCCTACTTTCTTACCGGACCTCACCTCTTGAAACCGGCTTTTCCCCATCTGAACTTATGTTTGGAAGGAAATTAAGAGACAATCTTCCATCTACTTTGGTTGGAAATCCTGTGGAAAATAAGAATTTTCTTGAGAGGGAGAATAAGTACCAGAATAAGTACAAGATACAATTTGATAAACGACATGGAGCGAGTGGTTTAAGTGAATTAGAAGTTGGAAGCATGGTATGGATCACAGATCTACGTCGACACGGTAAGGTAGTCAGGAAATTGAACGAACCACGTTCCTACCTTGTGGAAACTGACAAGAGAACTATTCGCCGAAACAGGAAGTTCTTAGTTCCTGCACCGTACTACGGAGGAGATGGAATTCTTTCAAACTGTTCATCCATGGTCCTTAATCGTCCATGCAACTCACGTGATCGTCCAGGAGCTGGCACAGTAACCCGTTACGGAAGGTCCATTAAGAAACCGAGGCGGTACTGAGGTTCATAAAGATGTGGACATCTTGAAGCGGGATGTTGTATTAAGTCTGTTCTTTTTATCATGTGTTTAAATATGTTTGTTGTCAGATGTTTTTGTAAACATTGGTTTAGTTTGAAAATAGAGTTTGTTCAAGCAAGATGTGTGAATAATATTCTTGTATAAGAAATAGAACAGTTAGTTCAAGGACTCCTTAGGATAACCTTAATATTGTATAGAAAGTGTTTAGAGGAGAAAGCATTCAACTGAATTCCAAAGTTTCTACGTACGAGTTAAAGAACAAACAAGATTTTAGCTAATCACCGTGTTATCTTAATAATAAAGCAAATATGTAGGCTACATGTCCAACTCATAAAATAACTTGGGAGAATTTAAGTTTGATTTGAATTATTTTGGTCATAAACGTTTTATCCACAAAACACTAACTATAGACGAATTGTTTGAAAGTAACTTATACACAATTCACTACCTGCGTTGAAATATAACAGGAAAAAGACAGTAGTGTCAACACTACCGTCATAAAGAAATGGTCATTAAATGCATTTAAATTTGAGTTCGATCATCATAGAATATGGACAAATAGGCTTGACCCAGTAGATGATTTCGTATAAGTCATAGATAACTCTCCTTACCTTGTCCAAGTCCTTGGCTCATTTTTTCGATAATATCCTATAAATGTAAAAGAAAATATGTCATTAAATGCTGTTGACACATCCAATAAATAAGCTAAGCTGAAAATATCAGTAGTAAAAAATTGCCAATTTCTCCCCCTTATATTGTTAGGTTTTTTTTCTTTTCCATATCAAAGATCAGTTGTCTAGGCAATATCTGTCTGTCGTCGAGTAACAGAAAGGGGTCTTATGTAAGTATGTGGTGTACATGTATTTAGTATAATAAAAATGTTTATGAAGTAAATTTTAATGATGTACATTATTTACGCTGTAAAGTACACGCGTATTTTAACTGTATGTTGCTTTACTTAACGTTGCTCACTCCCTGCGTTCGGATTATGAAGCATTTAATACAAACACGTTCACAATCGTACATAGCATTTTATACTTCTAAGAATCATGTTTACTTTAGAAAACAAATTATTTATAATCTAATAGAAAAGGTTAAGACTAATAAGCTTTTAATATGGGTGTCTGGAAAAACTAAATCAATTTATTATATTATATTTAATCGTTTATTAAATGAAGTCTTCCCTTGCATTTAAGATTAACCATTTTAGTTCAAACAAAGCTAATTTAATAAAAACTGCCATACCTCTTTCTTTGGGTCTTGCAATATCCATACTGTGACGGGAAGTTGGCTATTTACAAATTCTTTTCCTTTACACTTGCCATTTTCAAAGTACGCCCATTTGTCATTCGACAACCATACTTCCATCATTTCGTCTTTCACGTTTATAATGTTTTTGTCCATGTTATCACAAGTGGTCATAATAAGTAAGGCTACTCTGTTTGTACCTTCTATGTCATTAAATAGAATCGACACGTACTTTGCATTAGAATCTAATTTCTCTCTTTCTTCGTCATTTAGTTCGTAGCATTTTAAAACAAATTCTGTTTCGGTATGGACAGTAATTTTTATGTTTTCTAAAATACTATAGGATTGTTGTTGAAAATCAACAAGAACGTCTACAACTGAAAATCAAAATCATTATTAATTTATAGCCTACATACAGTTAAGGAACACAAACTTTCGAATTAACCGTAAGCTATGAAAAGAATACTTAAATCTAGGCCTAAAACCTTTATGAAAAACATACCCTAATAATATTAGTTTTTCGAAAAAACCCTCCCCTAAGGGCAATACCGTTATTAAATGGCTGCATGTAATCGCATTGCGAAATATTGAACATGCGCACAGAGAAGTAAGACATCTTACTTCTCTGTGACATGGGTCAGCGGTTTGTTTACATTTTTATTCCTAAGTTATAATGTTAATTCTCTATAGTTTATAAAAACTCGTCGTTAAATAATGAACTGCTCAATTTTGACTGGTTAACTTCTTTAACCTTTTGCTAAGTAAATATCAGCTGGCTTTCACTTTTAAGTTTATATGGAAAAGGCCAAATGCTAGAAGAGCATACGATATGAATTAACTTTTGAAAGTGATAGTGATGAAGGGTATGTTGTTCGCTGAACTAGGTGGATAAGAGAAAGCGTTGATGATTTGAATAATTTAGACTCAATTGATTTTATTACTAGATATAAATTCTCGAAAAGTTTTGCCTTTTTCTTTAGGTTATCTTACAAGGTATTTAGTATAGGCGTATCTCTAGGTATGTGATCAGCGATCGTGTTGAACTGATTGGCGATCAAGGGCCACACTTTTATCCCGACTGAAAAAAAAAACTCTCGGGTTTTGCATTCAAGTTTGACAAAATCTTTTTATTCCAAAATTATCAAATTTTTTTTTCATATTCGTAAAAATATGCTCCTTTCTCCTTTCCCCAGTTTTGGGTAAACCTACGCTCAAACAATAATAATGGTTTTGCGTACGGTCAGACATAAATGAGGACAATAACTAAACCTAAATTGTCATTATTCTGCTGGTATTTATAGAAAACTCGTAACAATTCGTTCCTCAATTAATTGTATATGTTTTTATCAACATTGCTTTGCCTGTGTATTTACTCATGTTAATTGTGTCGCTATTTATTCTTTTTTTTATTGCTATATTGTTCTTGTTGTTCAGGATCTATTATACTCTTGTAATCTGGCTGTCTCCAGTTTTCCCCCCTTTTCACTACCTCATAAATACTGATTTATTTTCTAGGTTATGTATACTTAGTCCCATGACAGCCAGGTATTATGACAGTTCGAGTTCACTGCCACCTGGATTTTACTCTAAACTCTCGTTTATAAAACCAGCATTAGTTTTGACACGTTTTCGTTGGTGAAATCAGATTTCTTTAACTGTTGTTCGAATAATAAGTTATTTTCAACCGTTAGCGTGAATTTGGTGAAATGTTTATATGTTGTAAAATGACTGGCTGTGCAACCGTGTGGTTGTAGTTCTCGCCAAACAATCAAAAGGTCACGAGTTCTATCCTGAGAAATATCAGTCGTATCGTGTAGTAGAGGGGTGGAAACTGGACCCACCTAATCCTGATCATTCCTGTCAAATAACTAAGCTTATCCTTATCACAGACCATCTAACACTGTAGAGTTTTTAATATAATATCAGAATAAACTATTGATAAAAGTCATGAATATACCGGCTGGGCATTCCAATGCATTCCATTATTTTTATCTTTATTAATATTCGTTTTCCTTTTCTGTCAGACAGTATTTTTATGGTTTATGCTTTCACTTTTTGCTCTGCCTCAGTCTGCACACTACTGCCTTCTAGTAAACATGCCCTTAAATGCAATGTAGTTTTGGATCAAAATGTAGCGTAAATTTTCTCTTGATGTTCTTAAAAACAAATGTTAGAATATCTCCAGCACAGTTCAGTATTAGTGACAGTTATCTTAAGTGAGTTAAGAAAATCTTTAGTATTCATATTTGGATCTAACCTCTTTAAGTATGGGTACTTATCTCTTCTGTCGTCAAACTTCACGCTACTCTTCAGCTCTAGTCACCCTCTCTCTCCTCTACGGGCATCATTTGACCACTAGCAGAGTCTTTCTACTTTTAACCTCTACTCTCCTAGCTACTCCTTTGAGGCCAGCCTCTACAACCTTCCTAGACGACAACGCCAGCTCCAACCATCTTATGACTGTTTCGATACCCACTCTACGATCTTACCTTCACTTCAAGCTTCACTACCTGGACTTCGCTTTCAAGAAACGCAACCTAAAGAGAGCACCACCGCTAGTAAAACTCTTTTTTACTTAATTTATTTTGCAAAAACTCTGACTATATTTCTATCTGATTTTTAGGATTTACATTTTTAACCTTCTGGAAGATTTCATTTAATATTCTAATCTAAAATAATATTTCTTGTAATAATACATTTTTTGCTGATTTCTAAACCAGATATTAAAACTATGTAAACTGAGAACCAGAGTTTTTATTTCATGCTCTTTGATTGTATTTTAGTAAAATTAAAATAATACAGTTTTGAGAATAGAATAATTCTCTACTCTTCAACGCACACCATTATATACTCATCCTTAACTTAAATTTGGGTTAAAATACACACATAGGAGGCGTCCCCATCTCAATGATTTATAACAAAATGATAGTCTTATAACAATCATACGGAATAATAAAAAACATAAGAATGTAGTAGGCTATATTGTAGTAGGTTATATTTATTTATTTGTTTTTTTTATTGCATAAATATCTAGAGTAGACTTTTAAGAAGTCAATTTTTTTCTTTCACACACTAACTCACACTTCCACACACACTTTTTCAAACTTTTTCTTTTATTCACAAGCCTGGTCATACGGAATATACAACCTATTGTCTCCAAATTTAAAGCCAACAGGAATTTCACCAAATAATAAAGTTCTCATCAACTCACTTAATTATTCTAATGATTAAAACGTAGCACATCTTGGAAGAACACTTCAAATCGTATTGTTATGAACACAGATTTATTTAGTTAATGTCATAAAGTAATGTTTAAAAATTTGTTTTTAATTTGCATAAGGTTAACAAAGAGTAATAGTCATGTTTAATTATTTTCCTTAATTTGTATTATTGTGGCACACAAGGCATAGCAACACGAATTTACGATTTATGCTACCAAAAACTTTTGTGTGTATAACTTACCTTTAGATTTATCAAAATGTGGGTCGTGAGGATATTCGTTCGGGTCCTGTAAGACAACACACTACATCACATGGCGTATAGCATATAAAAATAACTCAAATGGAAGATATGAAATTTTATGTTTTGTTCTGTTTATCAAGTCTTGTTTTAACTCATAACCAAGTAATTCAAATGGTTATTCATGCAGGTTTCCTTGATGAACCATATCGAGGTTACTGATAAAACAAATTATAAAAGTTGTTATAAAGAAACTAATTACATTGACGGTCATT